ACTCTCCAGCACTACAGCTGATGAACTTGAAGACGTTGTCAAGAGCTCACTCGAGCAGGATGATGTTTTTACCGAGGCCTTCCTCGGAACTGTCCTTGTCAGTACGGGCGATGAAGGAGATCTTGACTCTTCTGTCGTGAGCTACTTCAGTAGCCTCAACGCAACTGTCATCTACGGAGGAGAGGATGGCCCGAGCCTCTGCGGCAACTCTACCTTGACTCCATGCCCCATGTTTGGCCTTGCAGACGGTGATAGCATCCGTTTGAGCAAAGTCTTCCGCTTGTATGTCGATACCTACAGAACATTTATGGTTGGAACATACGAAGCGGGAGATGGGTATCGCACTTTGTCTTATTCCAACTCAGAATGGGCCGCCCCGTCTATCCCTGTCCCCTCGAGACTGTATAGCATCGAAGATGACAGACCTCTCGCTGGAAAGCGTATTGGAGTCAAGGACATATACGATCTAGAGGGCATACAAACGACAGCTGGTAGCTTAGCGTACGCATCCCTTCATTCAAAGGCCGATACAACAGCCCCAGCTCTCCAGCGCATCATTGACCAGGGCGGAGTCGTGGTCGGAAAGCAGAAAACAGCCCAGTTCGCCTCACCTCAGAGCCCTTGGGATTGGAATGACGCGTTCTACCCTCGCAATCCTCGTGGTGATACGTTCCTCACATGTTCTGCATCCTCTGCTGGAAGTGCCTGCTCCATCGCTGCGTACGACTGGCTTGACTTTGCTGTTGGTACCGACACCGGCAAGTCTATCAGAGAACCCGCTGCCGTTGCCGGCATTTTCGGTAACAGACCTTCTCAAGGGATGATTGTTATGGATAACATCGTCACCAACGCATTCAACACGGACACTGCTGGCCTCTTTGCACGCGATCCTGTTGCTTGGGCCAAGTTTGCAAAGGCCTGGTACGATCCTTCGCTTCATCAAGACACGTCGATCAACGGACTGCCTGCGCTGTCAGTTCCTGATGCCCAGACATTCCCCAAGCGTCTCCTCTATCCTGTTGATCATCTGCCAATGCAGAACCCAGCTGCTGAAGCCATCCTACAGAAGTTCCTGGATGATGTAGCAGATGCTGTTGGTGTCACTGTCGACAAGATCAACTTGACGCAGACTATTGAGGAGACCCTGGACCGCCCGCTGCGGGGCATGCTTGACGATCTTACTGTCCTATGGACCCACGATCTGATAACTGAGACGGCCGAGCCACTCATTTCCAGCTATAGCCCGGGGTTCCCTCCCATCGACGAGCCCTACCGATCATTCTTCCGCAATGCAGTGGCAGACGATAGCAGCTACAAGTCCGCCATGGCAAACCGCACTCGTGATGCAGCTCTCTGGCACAAACAAGTACTCTTCTCGACAAACAGCTCCTGCTCCGAGTCGATCCTTCTCTACGACATCGGTACAGGTGGTCTTCCGTCCTTTCGCGAGAAAGACCTGAACGACTCACCAGGTGCTGCATCCCCTATCGATCCTCGAGGTCCCAAAGCGGTATCGACCATTTCATCTTACTTTGGGGACGTCGATATCACGGTTCCCATTGGACAGGTTACTTACCAGAGCAATGTCACGTTTCAGGAAGAGGTCATGCCGGTTACTGTTAACATGGTGGCTAAGAGAGGATGCGACTTTGTTCTGTTCAATCTAATCAATAAGCTGGTTTTTAAAGGTGTCTTACGTTCTGTGAATACAGGAAAGCAGCCTTTCCAGGAATAAGCACCTGAGTCACCTTCACTATAGAGAGTTTACCTGTAGACAAAATTTTTTAATATCTCTCTACGATATCGTTGCTTCATCAATGATCTCCTATATAATTTATATAACTTGTGTATCTGACTTAGTATTCTGGCAATGACCTCAAACTCAATAGCTTCAACTAGATATAGCTTAGTTAGTGGCCCACTTAGCGATACCGTCTATAGAGGCGGAGCTAAAGGACTATACAGTAACTCTCACCTCACTGTTCCTCGTCGCCTGTGTTAGCAGCATAGAGTTTAACTTTATAGGTAGGCAATACTTCTATTATACAACGACACGGCAAATAGAAGATAGGGAAATGTTGCGACATTAAATCCGCTCAGATTATATAGCTAGGGCCAATTTTCATATATTCTATCCCTATCCTTAGTTCACAAAAGAAAGTTCTAGGCGTACTCACGGTCAGAATCGTCGTCAACAACATAACTCTGGCTCAACTCCACTCCATCAGTAGCCCCAAAGAGCTAGAAGAAATAGTCAGCATAAGTCAAAATAGACAGCCACAAAGACGTCAGAGATTGGGGTTTAGATGTACCTTCTTTATGTCTCCGTAAATGCCAAACTGCACTGCAGTCATGCCACTGACCATGACGGCGCGTGCCTGCATGCCCGTGTAAGCACCACGTAGTCCAAGCTCGGAAGCAATGCGGAATAAGCGGCGTGTTGTGCCTTCACCACTGCCTGCCTTTTCCTTGTTGATTTTACTCAACATGGTATCAGCAGGTTGAGAGACAACTGCCGCTGCCAAGCCAGCGACAAGTCCAGCCCCAAGGTTGATACCAGTAACTCCTATCGAAGGTAGCTCTCTCTTGTCTATAACGCTGTATGCTGTCTGGATAGCTTGCTCGTAGACTAGAAATGTCGCCATGGTATAGGGAATCCTATGATGACCATTCAGATTAGCAGCCAGGTATACACTGAGCACAGGGACCGCAGTTTGTCTGAATGCACGTACTGTTTGAGCAGGATAGGGCTCAGGCCAGAGTACAGGCCGCCGATACCCTCTTCTCTTGCTAGTTTTGCAAGGGCGCTTACGCTGTCAGTGGCATAGCTAGGCTGAGACACGAGTCGTATGCGAACAGACTCGAATGGGCAAAGTGCGATATCGCCGAGGAACTCGGCCGCAGCGGCCGAACCAAGATACACGGCATTCCTGTGGTTGGAAGCAGTCGACTGTCCAAGATAGTCGACTGCACGAGCCTTGAAATACTCATAGCCTCCAAATTTGAAAGCACCTTGAAGGCAGTAGCCAGCGATTGTCGGGCCCAGTCCCGTCAGGAGAGCTCCTGATCCTTCAGCTGAAACTATATGGCGTGCACTCTTGGAAAGGCTGCTGCTGTATGTAACTGGATCCAGCTGGATCCTAGTTTTTACCCTGTGCAAGAGATACGTGTCAGCGACAACAGCGTTGTAGGGCAGACAATGTAACTGTCAACCAATGTCTTGTAAATGTCGGTTACTTACACATCAACAGGAGTAAGGACAGCATGAGTGAAAGAACAACAGAAAGCGCCGGCGAGGGCATATCTTGCGTACAGAGATACGCTTGTCAAGTTTTCAGTTGTTGCAGTAGCCATAAGCTTTTCCTTAGTTGGTAGGAATTTGTCTTTAGCAGCGCTGATCGCTTCTGAGGCATTAGGTGCATGATTGACGAATGGGAAACTACTGATAAGAATGAGCGAATGAGTCAAAGGGGAAAAAAAAAGAGAAACAGGCTGCAATCGCCGTGTATTTAAAGGGTAATTAAAGCCACCACCACCTTCTAGAGCTTTTGTTCTTCAGCTCATTCAATTCGTCGGCCATGGCCTTTTGTTGCTGCGCGCTCAGACTGCTTCCCGCTTTATCCAGAACCCTCAAGTGCTCTTTCTTTAGCTTCTCGAATTCCGCGTCTAACTCTTTGTGCCATGGATATAAAACGAAGACCTGGAATCCCAAGGCAGAACTGGCCACGAAGAAATTGGTCAAGGATATGGCGCGTGTGAGCTTCATTATGGCTCGTGATGTAGGGAAGGCGCCGGATAAGGATCTTGACTGTGTATCGGATTGGCAGATACGTAGTAGAGAAGAGGAGGGTTGAAGGTGGTAGCTTATAGAATTCACGGCTGTATTTGTGGGGAAACAAAAAGATTAGGGGTGGTGACATGCGGAAAGATTACAGAAGAGAAAGTACGTGAAATCCATTGGGGATTTTTCGAGAGAAGCTCTGTTTTTATTGACGTGTGAAGTGACATGTGACACGACTCCAGTCTGTCGGTAAGGAATCTTTGACCGAGACAAGAAAGGGAATTATCGGGTTTGAAGGCAACCCCACAAGTTCATGCTTGTACCCGATGAATTCCACGTGTCGGCTGCGTTGGCAGCTGCATGATGCCCGATGAATGACCCTCTGATCATGACATCCTGTTCAGATAGCCATCTTGGAACGGTCAAGAAAAACCTTGCAAGGTGAGGGTTCAGGAAGTCTTCTCGTTAAGAAGCTTTATATGGAAGTCCCTGAGCGAGTATCCCTTTTCTGGCTGCTCGTGTGATGATGTTGAAAAGGAGAAGCTTTCTGTGTACATGCACAATACAGCGGAAGAGGTCGCAACGCAACTGGGGACATTCTGTGACCATCGTATGATTTTGGCAGAGAAGTGGAGTGCAGAAGGAACTGAGCCTAACTACAAGGAGCAATTCCGTGGGAAAAAGAGCTTCGCCTGGACTCTCGCTTGGAGAATACCGGAAACTTTATTTCTTTAGGCAATCAATAACTCGCTGTTTAGAGTTTGGCCTCAGGGCGCACTTTGGGGATACTGTTCACCAGAAAGTGATGCTTATTAATACACATTTAGAGAACCTCTGCTGTTTTCTAGGCTTGGAATATGCTATTCTGTCGTCCTGATTATATAGCCTCTCTTATCACAAGAATGCAACTTTCTTCCGTGAAACGCAGTACCGTAGGCCTTATGGTTTGACAGATGCCGGTGCATGGCCCTTTTTTAAACCTTTTTATTAAGATTACAACAATATATGCCGACGCCGATTTATCCGATATGCTGTTAAGCTTCGATTTAGACTTCTAGAACCTATTATACATCTAAAGAATACGAGAGTTTCAATAATAATAGAAACACTTTACTTTAAGTAATTATATATAAGGATAGTATATGTTCTGTGTGATTGTTGCATCCACATTCGTTATCCGTCATTTTAGTGCCTCCCCTCCCTACTAGACTATCTCAAGATGGTCCACCAGTACTTGCTCTTAGCGCTACCCATCCTGGTGCTAGATGCTGCACAAGGCGTTAACGCAATCCACGCTAAGAAATCAAACCCATCGCCTGCCGGACTGCATGTTCTGCCTCTTATTGCAGCTAATTCAGATGACTATCATTCATGGATTGCCCAAGTTGCGGCGGGCACTCCTCCCCAGAAGATGAGGCTGAATCTGGACATAGCCAAATCGACAACATGTATGAGCTTCTTGTTAGTCGCGGGCGTGTATGTTATTGACAATTGTAGGGTTCATCTCTGATAAGACCTATGCAGAATGTGATGGCTGTAAGAATGGATACTATCAGCTCAACAAATCCAAGACCTCATCCCCTGTTCTGGGCCATACGGCAATCTCCTATGGCGATCCAACGACATATCCACCAAGCAACCTCACGTTTGACCTGGACTTTCACAAGGACACGTTCGACATTGCCGGCGTTAGTATCCCGAAACAAGTCTTTGGCCTTTTCAACCCCTACAAGAATGAGTTCTCGGGAATTGGTGGACTTGGCCTCGGCCCCAATTTGGAACATGGATATGCGCCGGGCAAAATCTACAGCTCTTTCTTAGACAATCTGGTTGCGGACAAAAAGATTGCCAGCCGTACCTACAGCATTGACCTACACGAGCACGGCTCAAAGCCAGGCAAGTCCTTTTGTTCAGCTATCAAAGTATCCGGCTAATCCTCTATCTGATAACAGCTTCAATTATTCTTGGAGGTATTGACACTGGTAAATTCAAGGGAAAGCTTGTCAAGAGGCCGTTGGTAAAGGATGAGCTTGGGACGTTTGGGCAAGTACTCAAAACTATTCATTACTGAGCACTTGACCTAACCTTGGATACTTAGACCTTCAATCGCTCTCACAGGCCTCCGCCAGACTGTCCCCAAAGGAAAGAACAAGGCCGGTGAAGTGACAAGCTACCAAGTCCACAAGAACGACTCGGTGTTCCTCCTCGACAGCTCAAACCAGTACCTCCGGTTCCGCCACTCCTTCGTCGATCCTCTTTACAAGACTCTCGGCGCGGTGAACGACGGACATGATGCCTATTTCGTGCCTTGCGAGAAGCGAAACATGCCTGGTAGCTGGGACTTTCAGTTCGGTGACGTCACAATCAAGATTCCGTACAGCAAGATCATCACCAACCAGTCAGGTGATAAGGGCAAGACTTGTTGGGTTGGTGTCTTGACCACCTGGAAGGGACAGCTAGTCCTTGGACGTAAGTTGGCGTTTTTTCGTGTAAGGATGTCGAGAACATGTGCTGATACACAACAGAACCTTTCTTGGAAGCTGCCTATCTTGCCTTCGATCTGGACAACAAGCAGGTTGCACTGGCCCCACCAGCCGAATGTGGTGAAAAGCTGGTTGCATTTGGTTTTGGACCTAATGCTATTCCCAGTCTGAAAGGTTGTTAGGTTACAGACCCAGATGATGGCGGAATCTGGCGTAGGGCTTAATACCGAAGAAACACAGATTTGGACTGCATCATGACATTGAATTATATAAGTTAAGTATGTATAGATATTCCTATCTACCTGGCTGACTACAGAGCTACTGGTAGCCTGGCTTATAATAAATACCGCTACATATTTCAAACACTAGTATCAGATGTCTCCAATTTTGTGCAGCTATAATCACCATGCTTGGTAGACCCGTTTGGAATATAGAAGCGCTTGTCGATGCGGCTGAAGGTCAAGAGACATAAAATAATGACCTCCAACATAAAGTTGAAAACGTAGAAGCATGACTTGGAATGGTACCAGGCTGGGTTAGAAAGCAGTCGCGGGTGAGCCCAGTAGGCGCCTGCTTTGAATCCCGCGATTGTGATGCACATACAAGATGATAGCGTTACAATCAATACTTTGGCCCTCATACTACCCTCCCCGAATGTCTCTCCATCATTGCGCCGAGGCAAAGATATTGCACCAGCGACATGTAGTATTGGGATGCAGGTGAAAAACAAGAGGTACGTTACGGCTGCGAGCTGAACATCGCGACAGGAGGAGCGAATGTCGGGGCTTTCAGAGTATAGCTGCACGACTGTTGACGTGATAACCATGACCAATACTCCCGGAATAAGAGAATATGAAATCTTTGTGCCGACCCGCAGAATCGGGTGCCATCCGATCAATGGTTGTTTAGCGCGGAGTACGCGTTGAGAGAGGATGACGTTGATGATGTAGATGAGTAAAATACCAGCATTGACTAAGATGTTTGCTGCGACAGCTAGGCGAACATTGTGCTGTCGATTCGCCCAGGCAATGCGAAGGACAAGGGTTGTGACTCGTGCCATGCAGAAACCGAACAAGACACCGGAAAGTATGAATTTGTAGTTGCGTCGGCGATTCTTTTGGAATATTGTCATGTTTGTCGCTGCAAAACAGATGTAGAGGACGATGAAGACGGCACAAATAGGGGTGTCGATTTGGTTGCTGGGAACGCCACCGAGGCCAGCAGTAGTTGGTGGGTATAAACGGCCACGTTTTTCAAAGGACGTCAACATGTTGTAGAGTGGATAAACATCTGTAAGATCAGATACTCGATGTAGAGAGAGATGTGTTGGTAATCGCTGGTCCCAGTAGCGTCGTCTCGTTCATGATTTATATAATTCATCAAGGCATAGAGGTTGCTGACTGTGGATCGGTATGTCTACTTTTGACTGGTCAGACGTTGCCGGCCACCTCATGGCGACCATTGCCTGATAGGGCAAAGTGCCATCGGAGGCTCAACTCGTCCGGCTTCCGCGGCCTAGAATTTCGTCCGAACGTCCGCATCGTCTCTTCCATTACTGCATTATCAATTCTCACGCCTCGCACCGCAGGTAGTGCCTCATTTTGCACATTCTGAGCACCGCACCTCGGCCTATTTCGGCAGTATTCGTCCATTTTTCAAGTAATCTTCCTGCCTGTCATGTTTGCACTGCAAAGCCCCCCCGTCCGGAAAGGCACCAAGAGTTGCAGAGAGTGTATGTCTTTCTGCATCTACCTAGAGCAATTCGAAGGCCTAACTTTCATGTAGGCAGGAGGCGAAAAGTCCGGTGTGTCCGAATCCCCGAGGACTCACCAACCTGCCGACAATGCGTAGAGCGGAACACTTCGTGCCTGGCTCAAACATCGAGTGGTCGCACACGGCAGCTGCATCGCCTACCCTCAGGATACCGCCTCACGCGGCTTGAGTCTCAGGTCAATCGGCTGACCAAGAATATTAACGACATTCAGGTGAAACTCGGGGGCGAGCCTATTCTCCAACTTGAGCAGGAACTCGATCAATCGCTTGTCAGCGACGGTTCTGATGCCGAATCCACCAGCTCAGCGGGCTTTATCGCGGAGGAGTCCTCTCAACTGCACTCGCTTTTCCACAATGACATTCTCAGCTTTGACATTAGCCAGAAACATGAGCACATTCTAGAACGACGGACGAGAGCCTCGGCTTCGTTGCGCGAACGTGCGCGACCGGCACTTCAGCGATTAATCCCATCCAAGGAAGAAACTGCAAATATGTTGGTAATTACCTTTGACTGGCTGCAGATGCTGGCCTCCCTGCTACCGCAACCTTCATCGCCAGAATCTCATCACGCCTTGCTAGCAAGATATGATGAGATGTGCCAGCCAGATGTCGATGCTGTTGACCTGGCTTCTTGGCTTTTGGCTGTGGCTATCACAGCTCAGCAAATCCCACAAGAAAGGAACGGCTCAGAGTCACCATCCCTTGACTCTAAAAAACGCATGGCCTTCTCTCGTGCCGTGTCGGAGGCCGTTGAGAGTCTGGTACTCAGCCACGACCGGTTGGTTGGCACCATTCCTGGCCTTGGGCTAGGCCTCCATTTTGTTCGTCTGTAAGTTAGACCTACTGATCCTTTTGGTGACTTACCGCGTCTTCGCGTGTATCACAAGAATCTTGATGTCTAATAGATATCAGCCTGATGGGCCGCGGAGACTTTCAGCAGGCCTGGCTGAAGCTGCGGCATTTTATCGCACTCGCCGAGCTAATGGGCTTACCGAAGGCTGCACAATCGGGCTTGAACGAAGAATCGGCGAGAAAGGCACAGGCATGGACGCTTATGTGCACTATTGACCGCATGGTGTGCATGTTTATCAATCTCCCTGCTTATACAAGACGGTCTCCGAACATGGCACCCCTTCCTATAATGGTGGACGGTGTCGTTCAACCTTCTGTTTACCTCAGTCGGCTTATGGATATTGCCCCCGAAGCCTTCGGCCTCGATGATCTAAGCGGAACGCAGGATTCGAAAGCAGCTTCATACACAGCTGTATTAGAAGTCGCCCGTGAAGCGAGGTCATTGGCTGGCGAGGCACCCAAGTCTTGGTGGGCCTTTCACATGGACCAAGATCTAAAACCAGATCACATAGTTCAGTTTGTCCACTACTGTTTACTCATGAAAGCACACCTTCCTATTGTTCTCCGGCAAAAAGGAAGCGAAGACTATGGATACGACCACCTGGGTTGCATTGACGCCTGTCAATCTGTCGCTCAACGCTATCAATTTATTCGCCGGAAACTTCCTCCTGGGTTCTTCAGTCTCAACGTACTCGATCTGCAAGCCTTTACAGCCGTAATACTACTACTTCTCATGCCTTACAGTTCTACTCTAACCGATTTGCACATCTTTCAGATCGATAAATCTGGCATAGAGTGTGTCGTGGCCCAGGTTCTCCAGCTTATGGAAGAAAAGTCGGACAAGGGTGTTGGTTCAGACTTTGCGCGGCGTGGCGCTCATACAATTCGCTCCCTCCGCGACCTTCTCCAACAGGATGAGGATCCTGGCAACTCTGTAAATGAAATCACTGCCAACGTCCCACTCATAGGTACAATTCGCGTTCGCCGCAATAGGAAAGCATCACCCAATCTCAACAACCACAGCCAGGTATCATCCAATCAAGGTCCACAGGCTGCTCAATGGGACCTCCAGGAGCAGGCAGGCTACAGTTCGGAGCTTAATACAGGGATTAGCCTCCAAAACTCTGCCATCGAAAGTTTCATGGCGCCAGAGTTTCAGTGGGACCAGTTGTTATGGTCCATAGAGGACTCAAATAACTGTATGTTATATAATTATAGTATCATAGATGAACTCAACTAAGATGCAATATGGTAAAATATATATTAATATATAACTTTTCTTACTATTCTTTTTTTTACTTAAATAAGTTAAATTATTATATTATATCTTAAAAAGTTAATATAGATTAAATATATTTATACTTTAAAATAATAATTAATATTAAGGTAGTAAGTAATAGTATTAATAATAATTTTATAGAATATTAAAAAAGTCACTTTTTATATACTTTATTATATCTTTTTTCCTTTTAATTAATATAAATATAAGCTAAATATATAATTTACTACTTAAATCTATAGCTAAGGGCTTAAATTAGCAGAAAGCGTATTATAAATAGTTATAACTTATAATCTATTTCCAGCTCGCTAATAGCGCTACTTAGAACTGACCAGAAGACACATAACCATTTCCTACTGTACTGTCTATTAGTGATAAGCCAACATCTCATCTCTCGGATCTCCCGGCGCCTCGTAGTGAACGGGCTCCGTATACATATCTTTCCACCCCTGATCAAGCCGGGCAACAGCATCAGTGTTAGCTAACCGATCGCTATCCCACATCACATATCCCCACTGACGCAAAGACTCTGGTATAAAATTGCCAAAGAGATTGCTGTATGTCTCTTTCCAAAAGATTACCCATGCCAACGGAGGCGATCCATCACTGTCGCTGCTGAAGACCATCTTCTCACGGTCGTCCTGGGCTTGATCCCTATCGGAGTGATGGCTCTCGCGCCTTGTTTCTTGGTAATAAGAGTTTGTGCTTTCGAAAAGAATATCTTCCACCATCGGCACAATTTCGCTTGCGATCAATTCTGCTAGCTTTGATTGATCTTGTGTCTTGAGAGCGGTGGATAAGACTGATAGCCCCCGTGAGATTATGCCATAGAGCTGATTGTCATAGGGCACTAAATTTATTAGTAACATGCTTGTGGGGACAGAGTTGTTGAGCTCACAATCATCTTTCCAAAAGAGATCAAATGCGCCGGGTGGTGTATGTGGACCAGTTCGTACGTTGTCGAACGATGGATTAGACGGATGCAAGTCCCATCGAACCTGCTTGAATACACTGAGGTACTGTGCGTGCACAAAGACGTTTATACACAAGATTTCTTCAACCTCCCATGCTGTATACAGATCAAAAAAGAGCTGCACTAAAGGATCACCATAGCTGGCAAAGCCCTTAGGTGGACCGAAAAGGTTGTAGAAGAGTTGGAAGCGGTATAGACCGCGCGTGATGCGCTGCTCTTCTGTTCTGCTGATTTCGTTGGGTGAAGACAAACCCTCGAGGTTTAGACGAACCCAAGTAACGTAGTGTTTCATCAGAGGGCGGATGACCGATACATGAAAAGATACCATACTCAGGATCTCATCCTCGTCAGGTGGTTTCCAAGACATATCAGTGACTTCGAGGCGGCGCAATTTATAGTCCTCAATAAAGAGTAGAACCTTTTCCCGGTTCCGCCTCAGTCGAAATTCAGGCATATTGCATTGGTCGACCATGTATGCATCAACATAAGCCTGGCCAAGTTCAAGGTATAGGCAATGCCATAGCCAGAACGCTCGGTCAAGTCGATACTGTTGGTGAAAAGTGGGAGATGCATGGATCAAGGCTGAAAGATCTGTGAGAGAATCTACTGCAAATAGAATGCGATTGCGGATCTCAAAGGGCAGTGCCTCAAGAGTGGAATGGCAGAGCGGCTTAGGACTGCTTGATACAGGAGGTATAGTAGGGGCCGCCTGAGTAGGTATCTCATGGTCCTTCTTTTTGTGTTTCCTTTGCAAGAGCCCCTTTAGTCTGTGCATCGTCGGGAACTTTCTTCAGGGATCTGGACAAAAGTTGCAGGATGCTCTGTGAGGTTGGGAACATCAGTAAATGTTGCTTGGACTTGTCCTGTTCTGATGAGCCACGTACCTCTTCCTTCCTTCCTTACGCTTAAGTTGTGATTTCGCTCAAATGAATTATTTTTAGCAATGATTGTTGACTCTCAGTTGGGAACGGAAGTAGATGTTGGAGGTTGTTTAAGATAAAAGATGCCGATCGAAGGTCACATCAGAAACGTTCGAGATATCGCGCGGCTAGAGCGGAGACGACTCGCCTCAACCAATCAGATACGGCGGTTTCACGCCCAGCTAACGCGCCTCGTCACCATTAGAATTACGTTGAGAAGGCTGTGTTTGTCTGCGACTCTGGGCCAACAGGTTGTCTCTAAAAATATGGCCCGTGATTATCCGAGCGGCTGCCGGATTGGCCAGTACAGAGGGTCGCGTCTAGGCGCCAATACTCAGCAGTGATGTCTTGAACCGCAAATTTAGGATGCATCGCGCTGAGAGTAACGGTGTGTTGGCTCTTGAGTTTGAATCCTGCACAGACAGCTTGATTCTTCATTATTTCAGGACTGTGTTTGGCCCAAATTGACCATGCCTGAAATACTTCGTACCTTCTATATCGGCCGGGCGTTCGACCAACTTGTTAGTAGCTAGAATTCAGTGAAGGCGCCGATGGGTACTGAGATCCGTTAAATCTGAAGCTCGACGAAATGTATATGATGGCTCCCAGTGTCTCTTCAATGCCATAAAATAAAGGTTTCATCATCATCATCTCAATATATTCTCACGCTAATCATTGCCATTATCGAATTCCATCCATATATCCTGCTCTGTCTGTCTTAAGAATTGATCTGTTTTTCGCCAACCTTTAGAGGTACGATTGCCAGCTTCGAATTCTGCTTAGTCTGTTTTGAAAGGAGAATATCGACGACAAATCATCGCCGCTTTATAGAGGGTAGCTCAGGCTCCCCTCAGCTTTAGCTCAGGTGCTGCTTATCCTCAGCTCAGGCGACCCGCTTGAGCCACCAGGGTTCCCTTCCTGCATAAGCCTGGGGTGCTCGGAATTTTTACCACCCAACTCTACTTGTGTCCGCGAAGTGAAATCAGCCCGAAAGCAACAGGACAGCTGCACTGCCCGAGGTTCCGCAGATGTCTCCGCTGCCACAACAATCAAAACACAGGATGTAACGGTTCACGAGCAGTCGATTTTCTATGTAGAATCCCCATCTCAATAATAATAATAAAAAAAACTCGGATCAAACGCTACATCTTCACTGTCAGTTTGAACACTCCCGGTAGCAGATCAAGCGGAACCTTGAGACCGCTCAGTGCTATATCCCATAGACTGACGCATATACACCAGATCAGACTAGTTTCTCGTGCCCTGCGTTCTCCAGTGTCTTCCTTTGAACTGCAACAGCGTCGTAGGTAGTACTGCTGCTGCTACTATCGTGGCCGTAGAGATTACTGCGCTTAGACTAAGGCCGGGGCTTTCGACCATCTGGGGTATCCTGTATTCCATGATGAGCCAAAGAGCAGACATACAATTTTATTGGAAGCTTACCAGAATGGACCAATGAATCCCCAACATTGGCGGATGAAAGTGATGAAGACGCCTACCGCCGCAGCATCTCTGGGATAGCAATCCACGGCATATGTGATCATGATGGTCGTGACGATCTGGTTCCCTGCTGCCGCGATGCCTGCCCCGACGATAGGGGTAACATCCCACGTGTCCGATGCTCGGTCGAGTTGCACTAGGAAAACTACCACGCCACAAATTGCTGTCAAGTAACCCATGTAGCTTAACCATAGACGGTATTCTGGTTCCGGCCGCTTGCCCTTGCGTTCGCGTAGTCCCATCCATTTATCGGATAGAATGCCGCCAATCTGCTCTCCAGCGATCGTTCCAATAATTATACCAATGTTCTGAAGGCCGACTTGTTGGGTATTGAATCCAAATTTCTCGGGGAAAACTTGAGGGATCTCAAAGGTTGTCATGACGCTGCCCCAGAGAAATACCATGGCATGTGCCACAGTCGGAACGACAACGTTGGGGAACCTGATGAAGCCCAGAGGATGTATAAAGTCCTTCAGCTTTAGCGGTTTGGGATCTATACGGCGGAAACTGAGGTACTGTTGTCGGAATGAAGAGTTTGCTTGCGATTGGATACCCGGTTCGAACCGGGTTTCGGGTCCAAACAGGCCGTGGAGAATAAACTGAGCACCGTTGGTCTGGGAAAGTTAGCAGAAATCCCAGGGCGATATGAATGGAAACTGACCATGGCAAGAATCCAGTAGATCCATCGATAGCCAGTCCTCATAGCAACAAACCCAAAGATGAGGGGAGCAACAGGAACGCCAAGCGTCACCATTGTAGTCCAGACACCCATATATCGCGCCCTTTCGTTTCGGAAGAATGTCTCGGACACAACAGCGGTTCCGATAGATGCGGCAGGGCAGATGAAGAAGGCAGTTATCGCTCGACAGAGGCCCATCGTCCCGTAAGTAGGACTAACCGCACAGCCAATATTACCGACAAGGCTGCAAAGAAGTGATACTAGAAAGGTCGGACGTCGGCCGTAGGTATGCGAGAGTGGGCGCCAAAATAGTGGTGCACCACCTAGTATTGCGATAACAAGAGATGTGAGGTAACTCGCTCGCTGTACGCTTACTTCAAGGTCTTCTGCAATTTCAATAAAAGCTGACTGGATCGCCGCGGCGGTGAAGGTTGCCATCATTCCGTGGAATGCGACAAGACAGAGGTTTGCAATTTTCTGAGAGCCTAATCAGCACATAATATTGACGCCAGTTGGAACGGGGACACTCACCTTCCACTTGGGCCAGTTTAAGGGGTCGGCATCGCTCATGCAAGGGACGGGGTCGAGATTGATGGTGCCATGGCGCTCAAGAAGATACTGTTTGTGTTCTTCACTGAGAGATTCAGTATCATTCTAAAAACATAAGTATCTCAGCCTCCAAAGATGGCTACGGAAGTGCCTTCAAGCTTCCATGGGGAGGTTGTAAGACTTACACAATGCTCCAGAGACTCGACTTCGGGTTTCGACATATTGAACAAGAAGTGGGAAGCTCACGAGACCAGAACTAGGTATCCAAGCCTGTAAGTTGTTGTTTGACTCCTTCTGATGGTGGGACAGAGAGAGGCGCGATGGCAATATATCGATCCCCAGGAGTATTCCCCATGGGGTTTCGCTAATGCCTCCACATGCTCCAGACCGGGGAAACGGCAAATTGAACTAAGGCCCGCTATCCACTTGCCCTTACTACCTGCTGTAGTAGGGAATCATTGTGTTACAGGGAGGTGTCATCGTGAGTCCGCCACCGGAGCTCACGCGGCTCAATGGTTCCCGATTGGCCACTTTGCCCTTTGGCTGTTGAGCCGCGTCACGGCTCGTTGACCTTGTTTTCCTAAGGAGAAAATCCTGGTTTGGTGACCGATGATCCTTGGGGAGTGGAGAAGATCAGTCTGAATATGGAAGTTACGGATATGCGGCACGACTTACAAGGTTCTTGATGAACCTTGACGTGTCTATGAGTCGTTTGTTGAAATTTGGACAAGTTGGTGGAGACCATCCCTTACCCCTAGTTAACATTTGTTAGGGTCACTACGGCCGGAACAATCTTTTTAGACTTATTCCAAAGTCATCACTAAGCTCTAAGACCGTAGTCTGGTATTTCGGTGTCATTATCTGACTATTTATGAACCTTATCAATGACCGCTGTGTGTCTCGCCTTGAGATCTACAAGTTGGATGAGAGAAAGTGAGAACGAACTTCCAGCTATTTTGAACAGCTCGTGACTAGATACAAATAATGTTCATCGTGATATGAAGACCTTGGCTCGATACACTCATCCTTCCCACAAAAACTCCTGCGTCATTCCTGGAATCTGATTCCGCAGTGCCATTCCATAGTCTCCGGCATTAGGGGTCCTGAGTAAGGTGTGGATGTGAAACTTGGCTGGCTCCTTATTCGTCAAGAACACCCCCGAGTGATGATCAAACTCAACAATAACGACAGGGCTCTGAATGCGGTAGTAGAAAGGATCCTCGTCCTTAAACCCACCAATCCAGCAAAAATACGTCTCATGGAACCAGCGCTTTATCTCGGCTAGCTGAATATCTCGGGCCCTTTGTGGCAGGTATAAAAGATATTCTCGCAGGATTTCGGTTACAATATCTTGCTGAGCTGCTGATAATTTGGAAACGAGAACGCCTTCGTAAGGCACCACACGATTGTCGCGATAGGCTCCGCAAAGATGCCTCTGGTCATCGTGGTTCCAGCGCCCATAGGGCATCGCCGGGTCTTTCATCTCCTTGTATACTTGAGCTAGAGATTGGATATCTGGAGGCAGAATTTGCATGAGCTGCAAACCGAGAGTTTCTTCTCGTTGCAAGATTCTGGTTCCGCTGAACTTTCCGTGGTCAATCAGGTTGGGTTCGGCACCAGTGAACCACGGCGAAAGAATGATCTGCTTTTTATAGAAGAAGGCATTAAGACATAGGTGATGTCCGTAGAAGGAGAACCCCCAGGGCTCAGTGGTAGATGGCTCCGCGCCAAACAAGACAAAGTTGTAAGAAAACTCATTCATGATGGCGGGCGCTTCGACTAGCTCGCCCAGGAAGCCGTTGATGCGCATGGTCGAGACTGCCTTCTCATAGCCTTCGGGAGATAAAGAAGTCTTCAAAACTTGCATGACGGCAGTTTGTAATTCCTCGTTCGTTTCGTCTAGCCTGACGCCCTTATCAGTGAGCAGGAATTCGGGATTAGACCATGTACGCCATTCTGGAGAGTCGATGTGATAGGTTGAACGGTTTCTCTGTTCAAAGCTCATTTTTGATAGAGCTAGCTTGGTCGCATCGACAATATCCTCAATTGGAATGCCTTGATCTTCAAGTTTAAAAATATCTGGTTTGACATGGCCTTGTAGTTCATCAGTCATATGCGTATAAACTCGATGGATGGTTGGACTTACCATCATTGGTGACACCCTTGAATGGCTCAGAGAGCAACTTGCGCCAGTGTAGATACAGACCATGAAGCCACGGAGGAGTGCCATTCTCTTTGAACGCCCTTGCGTACTCATAGGGATCCTGCTTCTTCATGGTAGTGAACCTGTTAATCTGGAGATCGGGCAAGTGTGCCCGGAACGGGCTGGGTCCAGCGCCTGGATGCGACATTGCTGATAGACGAGTTGCTACAATGGGAGGATAATCTGTGAACTTGGCTCTCGCCTTAACGTCACTACAATGTTTGAATTATGTATCTGCTACGATTATATCATATCCACTGTCTCTGTTGCATCCACTGAGGTGCTTCCCCTCTTCGAACAATCGTAAGTTGGACGGCTCCCCACAATGATCGTCGGGTCGGAAGCGAATCCAGGGTCGAGGATGTCGGCTGACCTGATTCCTATTGGACGATTCGTTCTCCGCCGGATATTCCGCGACTAGCACAGCTAATCTTCTGGTTTGAGGTAAAGCATCACGTCCGTACTTTCCGATATTGTTAGTTTACTAATTGATGATGGGCTATCTTACTTTTGGCGGGAAGATGTTGGTTCCGACCTTGGGTGCGCTAGCAATACTTGCTACTTTGGGAGGATTGTTTGAGAAGAACCGCGTAATTTTTGTACCCATGATTGGCTGAGATCCCGTCGATGACCTGTATGAAGGATTCGGGCGAGTCTCGGCAAATCACTTCCCTGAGCAGTGCGATCGGACATTGGACTGCCGAGAGTCGACAGTCAGTCAGTGAATCGTTTATATTCCGCTCTGACGCACTCATAGTGAATGACCAAGTTCATCACTAACAGCAACCATGTCGACGTCACAATTCAAACGTATGTGTTCTTTGGCTCCAGTGGCGCCGAGAATGCCAACTTACGCGGACCTTAGGTCTTGTTCGCTTTGTTCCCCGCTCTGATGCGAGCGCCATCTTGATCGGACAACCAGTCTCCGAAGATGTCGATGTCGGACAAGCGCTGTTCAACGGCGAAGAAGTCGCCGTGGAAGTCTTTTCGGGCAAATCTGTCTTGGACCCAGGAGAAAACACAGGCGCTAAAGAAACCATTGATCGCGTCTTGTCGCCTTTGGCAGCGGGCGAAGTTGGAACTGTTCGATGTATCGGTCTAAACGTGCGTTGTTACTCTTCACTAGAAGAAGTGCGCTAACGAGACTCATTTTCTAGTACAAGCAACATGCGGATGAGGTGGGAATCACTGATCTACCCACTATTCCAACCGTCTTTATGTTAGTTGGCCGACTTCTGGGATTCTCGAACGGCTCGCTAACCGCTACAAAGGAAGCCTAGCACATCCATAGGAGATCCTTGGCCTGCGCCGACCATTCTACCCAAATTGACACAGTTGGATGACTGTGGAGACTATGAATCTGAACTTGCTGTCGTTATTGGCAAGACTGCAAAGAATGTGTCTCAGGAAGACGTCATGAACTATGTGCTCGGATATACTGCCTGTAACGATGTGTCAAGCAGATCAAGCCAGTTTGCTCAGTCTCAGTGGTCTTTCTCCAAGGGATTCGATGGATCTTGCCCTCTAGGTACAGCATTTTTATGTTTGACTATGTGACGCTATCTAATACTCCCAGGACCTACCCTCGTGTCCACCTCGGCCGTGCCAGATCCTTCGAAGTTTCGAGTGCGCGGTTTAAAGAACGACAAGCTTTTGCAAGATTGCGGAGTAGAGTAAGACACCTGCTTTAATAATTGTCTTCTGAATAAATGCTGACACGTTACTAGCGACCTCATTTTTTCCATCCCAAAAGTCATCAGCTTCCTGTCTCAGAGCACTACATTGCCCCCAGGGACAGTTATTATCACCGGTACCCCCGCAGGAGTTGGAGTTGCAAAGTCTCCCAAGGTTACTCTCAAGCACGGAGACGAGTTCAAGGTCGAGATAACTCCGCATATCGGGACACTTATCAATGTTTTCGAGAACGAATGATGGGAATCTCAAAGCCTCCCTAACCTATGACTGAAAGAATCTTGTTTCGGCTTAGCTAGTTAGATGTTAGACGTAGTACGTAGTTGAGTAGAAGCAACGTTATCTTCTCATAACCAGCTCTCCAGGTTGTTGTTATCACTTCTTCATTGCAGAGTCCCATCTGCGCCATCTTCACTAGTAGATGTACAATGACTGAATACGCTGGGGCCATCGACTAAAACAAGCGGGGAGGATTGGAGATCAGCAAAACTTTCATTTCCGACATTATGCACTGATTAAGATTGAACAATAGAAAATGTCATCTTGAAAGAGCATCATCTTCCTAAGAGATGCTCCGCGGCACCCATGTCGGGGCCCTGAACTGATCTCACAACCCATTTGTTGGACTCGACATCCTTCATCGCTCCCCACCTCCTATCTTTAACCTCTGGTCGAGTCTTGCCCATCTCTATCACCCCAACTTCAAACTTAGGGTCGTGGCGGATATTCCAGGCGATGGTGAATCATTCACTGTTACACAGGATTCCAGCCATTGACAATCGACCTTCTGGCTCCTCCGTCAATATAGAGGGACTGCGTTGAAGATGGATGCAAATTGGAACAATATAACAGAGGATAAATAGGAATGCGATGATGATATATGCTACCCATGGCACGACAGACAGCCGCGTTGTGGGGGTCAAGGCCGCCCCGGTATCTTCTTCAGCCTCTGAGAGCGAGTCGAAGCCATGGTGTTTCCTAGACATGATGAACCGGCGACAAAGACAATTTTCGTAAGTCGGTGCTCCAACACACCATGATCATCAGGTTTTCTCCCAGATCATCCCCGGCATATTTGTGCAGTATCCTGCCCAAGCCCCAGGGAGACCCTTGAAGCTGGGGGCTTCCTCGACGCCAACAAAGAGCAGGACAGGGAACTTGCCGAGACTAGTGGCATGCCGTCGAGTTGGATGCCTCCGTTCCCACAAACTGGACAAGGCTGATTTTGGCTTCCAACATAGCGTAGGACGTCCATTTGCCTTGTCCGTGTGACTTGAGCTGTCCTCAGCTGAATGCGATTAGCAAGGGAGCCACAAAACCACAGCGGACGTGGGACTGGTTCGTCACTCCACTTAGGTCATTATGAACCCAGACTATCAACATTTGGCTTATTGATGGTTTCCACGCTGCTAAAGCCACAAAGGACTTGAAAGGGCTCGACCTTGCTGCCTTGGGTCATTGTGAGGTTGGATTGCGCCTCGCAAGGCACAACTATCGACGCTATAGCTTGGGTATGGGCACTTGTAACTGGAGGTCTGGACTAGCCCAAGCCTCCCTTTGGTCAACTTATTCTTTATCGGAAGAAGCTGTACTTTACCTACCTATAGAATTGGAGCCTGTAAGCTTAACAAGAAGCTTGCCGTTGACCCCTGCGCGCCTGCATCAAAATGATTCGACCCATTGCTGTCATTGCTGTCCTCTCGAACACCTCTGGGTGCTATGCGACGATAAACCTTAGCCATTGCGTAGGGGACAGCACGGAATTTTCAAACTGCGACATAGCCAAGTCAATTGCTCTAAAATGCAGCAATCTCAGCAAACAAGAAACCATCGACTGCTTTTGCACGCAGGAGCGACTGGATGCTTGTGTGGCGTAAGCCTATGCTTATTGATGATACCGTTGAGATACTAACTATGGCTTAGGTGCAAGGATGAATTCAGGAAATGCACTCTGGGCAACTCGTATGATAGTTCAGTGGATGACGAAATCGCCAATTGGCAGGACGCATGTGAACCTTATCTTTCAGACGACTTCAAGACTCCGTCCGCTCCCGACCCAACGAGGACGATAGATCGAGACGCTTGCGAGGGCATCGCCGAGAGCTGCGCTCATTCAAGCCAGTCGGTAAGCCAGTCGGTCACCTCATGCTCTTCCGCCTATAAGAAGCCAGCGGATATCACCAGCTGCCAGCGTCAAGAATCCATCGTGTCTCTTGCTTCGGTGTGTGAAATTGATGGCGCAAACTCTTGTGTTGGAAAGACCGTGATGACGTCCAACATCTGGGAGTTCCGCAACTGCTAGGCTGCCACCGATGTCTTGCAAACCACCGAGTGAAGTCAAATGATCATGGCAACCCTGCAATTCTAACAGCTCGGCAGGAAGGTGAGCTAATAACAAAGAAACCGGACGACTCTACTGCCCAAGATGAGACTGCTACGTTGGTATTTGGGCCAACTTCAACTGCAACTTCGACTGCATCGAGTGGGACTGTGTCCAAGCACGCTAGTACGGGCTTTGTAAGGACTTTTGCTTGTGCTCGTTTCAACATTTATCTCTATTTCTTCTTGGTAGTATCCAGTCGTTAGATACCCACACAGCTACCTTGCTTTATCAATACTAGTAATGTTTCTTCAACGGTCATCATCGTCTCTAGAGACACCATCTCCCCGGTTCAGTAAACCGCATCTCATCCTAAAAGCAAGGGAATTTGCTGTTTGAGATGCTCAACTATCGCATCTGGCCCGTCGTTAACCTGAAGGCCATGCGGGATGGCGTGTGTCTTAATATCAGGGATGATGGACTTGGCAATTTCTCGCATTTCCGTGCTCTCTTCGATAGTCCACATTGAGGCGCAAAACTGAAGTCACTTATTAGCGAGGTTTTAAATCAGCCATTGCGAGGCTCAACTTACTAGGATGTCTGGCTGAAATTCCTTGACTTTTGGCTCAACTTCATCTTTACTGATGCAGTTGGTTACATAGTCAATCGTGTACTGATCTTTGAGGTCGTTGACTACCCGGCCGATAAGTCTCTTGGCACGCTCGGGCGCATTGTTCACTGTAACGAGCTTGTAGGGGCCTTTGGGGGTAGAGGACGACATGGTGAAGATGCTGAGATGCCAATTGTCGCTACAGAGCTGGGTATCGGTGTCAAGGTTATCTTAGAGGATGATAGTTTATCCTTTTAATGGTAAACTGGCAAAGATGCGGAGTCATGTCTCGCTTGGGTTCTCCGTGGTGGTCAAGCAGGACCGGCTAATCGGGTTCCGATTGGCCAGGACGCGCAACTCTTCCGATGAACAGCTTCCGATTCGCTCAAACCCACCCCAACCACTGGGACTATACCTCTCTCGGGGTCGGCACTTGTTCTCTCAATCAAGGGCAGGCCCTCGTTATAAGATTCAGTGGTAAAACACACTTCAAGACTTACGAGGCGAGTAAAACTACCATTTACGCTACCTTTATTCAGCAATAAGCTCTTTGAGATCATTTGTTAAGTTCTTTTCCCGACCTCACAAATCACCATCATGGCTGTAAAGCAGAATGGCGAGTCGTCAGACAGCCCAATGGATCTCTCAATCGCTATCATTGGTGCAGGTACGTTGCCCCTACCCCTGCCTGCGTATGACAAGTCATATTAAATTCTGAAAGGCATGGGTGGACTGGCAAGTGCTTTATCACTGGCAAAGAAAGGCTTCAAGGACATTCAGGTCTTTGAGAATGCATCAGACCTTGGTTTTGTCGGCGCAGGCATCCAGCTGGCCCCTAACCTGGTCCGTATTCTTACTCGCCTCGGCTGCTGGGACGGTATTGAGGCGGAGGCAACAGATGTTCTGGAAACAAGTATCAGAGGTACGTTTCATCGCTTGACTAAGTGTACAGTCTTGTTAACGTCTTGGAACAAGATGGTGCTACCAACCAAGAACTCACCCATGTCCATATGCCTGACATCCGCAAAAAGTATGGCTACCCTCACTGTACTGGGCATCGAGCATCTCTTGCCGGTGGACTCTATGAGGCATGCAAGAAGGAGAGTGCTATCCGGTTCAACTTTGGCCACTCTCTTGAGAGCATCGAATCCTTTACTCCACAGACGGTCTTTACCGTGAAGCCCCGCGATGGCGAGTCGTATCAGGTCAAGGCCGCTGTTCTGATAGCAGCAGATGGTGTCAAGTCAGTTGCGCGTACCCAACTCCTCAGCCAGACTGGACTGTCGGCAACCACAGAAGATACCGGCCAAGCTGCATATCGTGTGCTGCTTCCCCGCGATGCCATGGCATCAGATCCTGAGATGATGGCTTTACTCGACAGCAACCAAGTGACACGTTGGATCGGAGAGAAGCGCCACTGGATTTGCTATCCTATCGCATCACGGACGATTTACAACATGTCATCTATCCAGCCCGATGTCAACTTTGCCTCTGCGCCCTCAGCGACGTATACAACAAGAGGCTCCAAGCAGGCCATGCTTGACGTTTTCTCCGATTTTTGCCCCGTCGTTCAACGAATGTTGAACCTCGTTCCAGACGGTGAGGTTTGTGAATGGAAACTACGAGTCCACAAGCCACTTCCAACCTGGGTCCATGGTTCCGTGGCCTTGGTAGGAGACGCCTGTCACCCGACTCTACCTCATCTGAATCAGGGCGCTGGAATGGCAATTGAGGATGCCGCTGTGATAGCAGAGATACTTTCTCGAGCCCCAAATACGACTCCAGAGGCTATCAAAAAGTGTCTCCAAGTTTATGAACTTGTTCGAAAGGAACGCACCACGACTCTTGTTGACCTAGCTGCTCTTTCGGGGCGTACACTACACTTGGGTGCGGGCGCGGCAAAGGAAGAGAGAGATCGACAGTTTGCCGAGGCCAAAACTAATGGGGGCAAAGTTCCTGATAAATGGGCATCTCCGGACGTACAACAAATGATCTACTCTCATGATTGTATGAAGATCGCTGCGGAGAAGTTCGATGAGCTATATCAGAGTTTGAGTTAAGTAAGTAAGAGAGAAAAAAGATTGCCCGCTGTAGAAAGTCAATATTCTGCCGTGGAGTCCATAGGTTTATGAGCATCATGAATAAGTGCCGCTACATTGGCCGATCATTGTTCATATTGAGCGATATACGCAACATAAATAGGACATAATGTTACACTAAAGACAAGACTCTTTGAGTTGTTGTAACCCTATCATATCAAGCCTGCTGCGTCAAAGTCGGTGATGCCAAGTAGATCTAAATCAACGAAATCGGGATGATCAAAGGTAGTAGAATTGAGGTCACTGAACAAGCCAGCCATGGGATCGTCGAGCACGGTTGTTATCAGATCGCCATGCATGATCTGATCAGACAAATTACCCGGCTCCTGGGTGTGTGTGAGGGCATGTGAAACCATGGGGGGATCTGATGCGTGGTCTGCTGGGGCAGAGGTCCTCGCTGGGTCTCGTCAGTTTCATTCAGGGATAAATATTCTCCATGAGGCTCACAACTGGTTTTTAGAAAGTCCAAGTGACGCTGAAGGCAGCGATGCGCCTTTACACTCATGGCACTCGATGCCCCTATTGCTCGTAACATGTCTAAACAGGCCCGCAGCCGGGCTTCCAGCTGGGAGCTGTTGTGTCCACAGGCAATGAACTCGGCTTCAGGGCTAGCAGAGGCCAACCAGAAGGCAAAGGTGTGAAGGGAAATAGTAAGAGCTGATAAAAGTTAGCGCGAGAATCTCATTGGCGGCCGGAGCAGCTGACCTGCATAGTTACAAGTCCACCAGATGGCATTGCTCTTGAAGAAAGCTGGGCTGTAAGCTAGCAAACCGCGAATTAGGTGACAAAAGTTGTTCAATGCTGTCAGGTCATCCTTAAGGAGGCTTGCAGCGGTATTCTTGAGTACTCCAGAAACCGCCTGCTGACCCTTGCGTGTAGCTGCTTCGAGGATAGACATGAGGAGACACCCATGTACCAGTAGAACTGTTCGGTAATAGTATATTGAGAGCAAAATGGTATTCCTCTGAGCTTCAAAGTCGCCTTCGGTCCACGGGCTATAGTTGACATCAGATTCCAGGATAGAGCCAGGCGATGTGCTGCTGCGCCATTTCTCCAGTCTCAACGAGAGCTCGAGGGTTTTCCCGAGTAGTTCTTCCGCGTTCAATGAGCTCGAAGGGTCGATATTGGAGCCACATACAGACTCCATTGCGACGCCCATGATCCCATGCAACATCCTATGGAACGATATTGTCAGTGAAAAATAGCAAAGAAGGAAATTGGGGTAGAGTACACAATGTTTCGGAAGTATTCTAGGTTTTCTTGCGAGTATTGCATCTCAACAGTCCTCTGTTGGCGCATGGATACTAGCATGTGCAGAATATCGGAGCGAACGTGTTGGAGAGGAATCATACATGGCTGCCCAAGGGCCGAGCTCAGCATCCTATTGAAAATCAGTATCAGATGGAAGGTCCGTATATGGGAGATCGCAGATGTACCTATCTTGGTTGACCGTGGCGAACCAAAGGCTTGAGCGAAGTTCTTTCTCCGAAGCCGTGAGATGCTCATATGACGAAGGCGCGTGGATGCCAAGTTGGTAGGAGGCCTTGACAGCAAGGGAGTGTGTTGTCCAGCTTTCTGTGGAACGTTGGCTATTCTGCTGAAAGATGCTTAGAAGTAACAATGCTTGAACTAGTGATTTATGATAAGTAGGTATGTAATAGAAAAGATATTAGTTGACATACGTAGCTCAAGACTAGGGGCATACAACGTCTTTGGGTCCAATAGACTCAAGGTTCGACGGTAAAATGGCTCTGCAGCACCAACATCCTGTGTAGAAAGCGCATGGGCGAAAACAATGCTCCTCAAAGCTTTAGCTACACGGCTAGGTGGCCGCTGTCGCGATTCCGAAGGTCCAACAATTTTGTCAAAGCCCTCCAACAGAGCAGGTTGGTTGACATATGGCAAGACAGCGCCAACGGTATCGAAGAAGCGTGAAATCAAATTCATGGCCTCATCTCGCCCGGGAGTATTGACTATGTCAACTTCCTCGCCGCTTCCGTAGTGGCCTATCGAAGAAGATGCAGGATGCGGAAGATGCGCAGGGCCAGTGTGCGCTTGAACTGCTCGCAAAGGCTCTTGATGCAAGCGGCTACTGCGGTGCCCCAAGTTGGCGATGCTTGCCGTAAGGGACCAGAATAGGGCATGGTTAGAGCTTGATCCTAGGTTCTACTGTGTGAGACGTGGAGGATGAATCATTAACCGGAAAGGCTTACCAAAATAACAGATGCTGCTCCCTGACGATGGATGATCAAAGACACCTGCCGCCAGGACATCGATCCGAGACTCAGACTTGTCTGAGCTCTCCCTAGAAGCATTATCTCTTTGAATTTCTGTCTCATGATTGCTGTCTGGTGGGTGAGAAGAGACCTCGGCGTCTGATAGGTTCATGGGAATGCCCTCAGTTGCGTTCATGTCGGCAGGCTCGGGGTTTTGTGAAGTGGCGGCGAGACGAGCTTCCAACTCACTCACTCTACTCCGTAACTCGAAGTTGACCCTGTCCCCATTATGTCAATATTGCATGGCCTAAACCATAATGAAGCCTGGACTGGAACTGTCAGACCTGCGTTCTGCTTGGCGGTTGAGCCGTTTGTCGCGAACATTGTGGGAATATGTGCACTCGAGATGAAACCTGAGACAGCGTTCACACGCTGGATTGGCTCCATCGCACTAAGCATGGAGGATCAGCAAGTACCTTTCTCGGGATGATAGACGTCTGGACAGATGGCTGCTTACCTTCGACTTGGTCTGCCTGCACGCGTTGCAGGCTATCGATGCTCTTGGTCGTTTCGTGAGGGGACGACTGCTAGGATCCATGGCGGATTTATCGACATTATCAACCTGGCCGAGTTCTTGCCTTTGATCCCGCAGTCAATACAAAATGAGCCTGTGGATGATTTTGATGAGTGCTGAGGATGAAGATGCTGAATTTGCGGGGATTCCTAGCGCCAAAAATGGGGATGCATCGGACGCACTGATCCGTGGCTTTGGCCCACACCCCCTCCAGAGTTGTTACGGTCTCGCGTAACGGGTCTGGCAATTTATTTTCGCGATGTAAACGTAGATAGATTCGCCAATTTATTACATTGTCTCATTTTCCGTGATTTCATGTTTTTCTTGTTCAGTTCGCGCCTTGTGAAACCCCAAACCAGAAAAACGACACTCAGTGGGTGACCCAGTATTGGTCAAATTGCATTCTGAATATGAACACATTAGACTGAGCGGTCCTGGTTCAATAGACATGTTATGAAGGTGGACTTGCTTGTGTCGGTTTATTCGTTCAAAACGCTTCTCCCGAACGTCGACGGAATACGAGCATTTATGGCCAATTCTCTCACATAACTCACAAGATAGGCGATTGCCGCTGCACGGGAAGTATTCTCAGTTTACGTCCCAGACCGGGGAATCAAGACTCTTACAGAAAGCTTCAAAATTATGCACGCATTGCAGACTGGTAGTGACCTGCTCTTCTTGGCTTTCTTCTTATAGGGCTTCTCCCCAGGAAACGGGGCGTCAGGAATCGGTAAGTCTACGTCGATAATCCAAGTCATCTTGAATGAATATTGGCACGACTTTGGAAAGGATGATGATGTCAGAATGTTGATGTTGATGGACGCGATTGCGGGGTACCTATATCGTCAGAGGCTTGACTCGCGCCTACTGGTCACACAGTCCTGTTCCCATACTGTGCTGTCAAAGTGAAGCATCATCAAATGTGTAAACGAAAGCCTCGTAGAGACAACTTTGCAGCAAGGTTGAAATTAAGAACAATGCCGAACCCTGCTCCCTTCAACACTAAAGGACATCCGAACACGGCAAACCCTGTGAATAACGCCGGCATTAAAGGCTCGGAACAGCCCCACATGGGATCGGCATGGAAAAGGCCGAACCGGAGGATGCTTGGATTACCCACTTTTCTTAGCCACGCGTTCTCTGATCCTCATTCTTCAGGTCCAATTCTCGTGCCGATATCGTCATTTCTCTCCCTTGGATCTCGCATCATATTTATTCTCGCCTATTCGCTCTGGATAGTCCCACGCCAGAGCTGGCGCAGATGCCGTTGCCCGCTACCCGCCAGATGTGAGGACCGGTTACCGAACCTGCAAGTGTGTTCACCCAAGACAGTCTTGCCAAGAATACTGTTGACATTTGGTATATAGAATTCGCAAAGTCAAGTGCGATGAGGTAAAGCGGCGATGCACGTCTTCGCGACGTGTGTATGGCGGCTACGAGGATACAACAACGCATCGCGGGTATCGTCCCAACCAACTAGCTACGCAAAACCATAAGGAAGGCAGGGCCTTTCAATTCTTCAATAAGATAGCCGCACCAGTCCTATCAGGATTAACAGACTTATATTTCTAGATGCATCTAGTTATATAATTTAGCCATTTTAAGCTAATAGTGCAGTATACTATCTTATCTATTAGCTTACTCTATAAAGAATTTACCTAAAGTTCTTAAATTACTAGCTAGATATATAGCAATATATTTACTATTAGTTATTATAATATTACTATTTAATAGATTAAGCTATTAGGTAATAAGCAGTTAATCTTACTGCTTTATGTCCTCTTTATCTGCATTAAGTATTTATAAGGAGATATTTATATTACGCTATAGTACTATTAATATAGAATTATAATTCTTGATAACTTAGTTATCTAGGCTGGGCATATAAATATATAGTTCTAATATCCCATCGTTCAAGGCTTATACCATTCTTTTTCGGCGGCAAACCGGACATACGCCTCCCAAGTCTCATCGGCTTCGATATACCCATGCCCGAAGGATTTACTAGTATTGCGGAGGCTTAATCCTTCATTAACAACCTGTTATTTCGAGCTATGGAGTCTATCCTCGACGGACATGATGACCAAAGGCTCTTTTTGGTCACACTACTGGTTGAATAGGAGACATAAGCTAAGAATCTGGAGGATAATATTCCTACCTCCTCTGCTACAGATAGATATGCTTTATACGGAATGCGCATTAAGCATAAAGTCACAAGTATATACATCCACAAACCACGTGAGGCAATAGAGATATAGTACGATCAATATCGGGACACCTTCTGCGATGTTGTAGGTAAGTGCAGAAGTCTTAAGATCTGGCTTAAGGCTTTATCGTTGGCAGCACGACTTGGCCCAGCTAAAGAAGGCCTATTCGACGTGGGCACCCTGTATAGAGTCGGCAGACGTCAGATCGAACTTGAATATGATGTACTATTAGACGATAACAAAATGGAATTCGGTTCCAAAGCTCTAGAAGATGAGCCCTTACCTCCAGAGGAATAGCGTTTCTTTGCTGTGCCGGTCAAACACATGTTAGAAGTCATCTCCGATCAGGATGGCAGTATTCGTTACAAAAGACAGGTTCATTTCTTGAAAAGGGACCAAGAGGTTCAGGTGGTTATGAGGGAAGAATACATATCCGACGACATACCCAGTGGATGCAATGTACATATTCCTCCAATGCGCAGCGCGCACCGTATGTAGCATGAAGAGAATGACAGGGCCGGGTTTCAGTTTAACCATGGCTCAGCTTAAGCATACGTATTCCGAGCCCAAAGCACATGTTCGGCCAAAATAAAGTCTAGCAATTTCCTTCTCAGGGCGCTGCAATCGGCCGAGCCGAGTCTCACGTTGGCCGGCATCTCGTGTTCTGGTCTCCACTTCCCCGGGACTCATTTCCAAGCTCCGCAGCTGCGCCGACAGAACATCATTAAGCCTGTGGGGCTGTCCCGAAGCGGGGATTGTTGTCGTAAAGCTCGAACTGTGCCAATAGGATCCTAGATTGCCGACAAAATACTTATAGTACATGAGCTTCAACTGTAAAGTAAAGTTATATAATCAACAGATACTCATTCTGCCTTCTGCCTTATCCTCTACTCAGCTGTGCTCTTAGGGTCAGTTTCTACCTTGGTCAACTCCATTCCTGTTCTCATGCGGTCGACTTCATTTGCTGGCGCTGCAGTCTCTGCGGCAGCCGTTCATGCTGCATCCTTGAGCGACATATGCTCCAAGAGCTATGCCCAATCGGCTCTCCCTGCCGACAACTTTTTATCGGGCATCACCTTGGACGCGGACTCGGTTCAAACATCCCTGGTCTCCAATGCCAGCTTCCAGTCTGAATGGTACCCTACCGCCAGCGCCGACTACTGCAACCTCACTTTCGCCTATTCACACGACGGTCTTGCCGACGACGTTGTACATGTTTCATACTTGCTCCCTGCTCCTAGCAAGTTTAAGAACCGCTATGTCTCTACAGGCGGAGGCGGGCTTGCCATCAACTCAGGAAGCCAGTACGCCGCGTCTGGACTCATAGTTGGTGCCGTCTCCGGAGTCACAGATGGAGGATTCGGATCATTCGACACTCAGTGGGACGAGGTGTTCCTCCTGGCTAACGGCACTATCAACTGGCAATCTGTTTACATGTTTGGCTACCAGGCTCATCACGAACTGGCCCTACTCGGCAAAGAGTTGTCGAGGAACATCTATAACGTTTCCAAGCGCTCTAAACTCTACTCTTATTATCAGGGTTGTTCCGAAGGTGGCCGCGAAGGCTGGAGTCAGGTACAGCGTTTTGCCGACCAGTTCGACGGTGCTGCCATCGGAGCCCCAGCCTTCCGCTATGGTCAACAGCAGGTTAACCACTTGTTCGGTAATGTTATCGAGCAGACTCTGGACTACTTCCCTCCTTCATGCGAGCTGGACAAAATCCTCAACCTGACTATCGCCGCTTGTGATGGCCTGGATGGAAAAGAGGATGGTGTTGTATCGCGATCTGATCTTTGCAAGCTCCGCTTCGACCTTAACAGCACAATTGGGGAGTCTTACTCTTGTGCCGCATCGAGCTCCCAGGGTGGATCAGGAGCGCTTCGGGCTCGACAGTTCGCTCAGCCAGACACCCCAGCTCAGAAAGGAACCGTTTCCAAAGAAGGCGTGGCTGTGATTCGACAGTTTCTCGATGGCCTCCATGACTCTAAGGGACGCCGTGTGTACCTCAACTACCAGCCCGGATCTAGCTTCTCAGATGCCGCCACTTCTTACGACGAAGAAAACGAGACCTGGGGATTGAGCATTAACGGCCTTGGTGGTGAGTGGGTTGCGAGGTACCTCCAGCTCCACGACACTAGTACCCTCTCCAGCCTCGACAACGTCACCTACGACACACTTAAAGAGTGGATGGTCTATGGCATGAATAAGTACGCGGACTCTCTGCAAACCACTTACGCCGACCTGAGCGACTTCCAATCCGCGGGTGGAAAGGTTATCCACGTCCATGGAGAATCAGACGACTCTATCCCGGCGGGCTCATCCGTTCACTACTACGACTCCGTTCGTAGTGTCATGTTTGCCGATAAGAGCTACAACGAGAGCGTTGCTGCCGTTGACGACTTTTACCGGCTGTACCTGGTCCCTGGTGGCGCACACTGCGGCAGCAACACTAACCAGCCCAACGGTGGATGGCCACAGACGACTTTGCAGACCGTCATTAAATGGGTCGAGAAGGGTGTTGCTCCTGAGACTCTGGATGGACACGATGGCATTGAGACTATCTGCCGTTGGCCTCTCCGTCCGTTGTGGTCTGGAAACGGCACTTCGCTGAACTGTGTTTATGACCAAGAGTCGATTGATAGCTGGACTTATGACTTTGATGCTTATAAGCTGCCTCTTTACTAAGGGTATTGTTTCTATATTGTATTCTCAGATCTCATTCATGTCTCTATTCAATTAACTGAACAAAATACTCAGCTTTCCCATCTTTCATCTTGCCTCTCCCTTGGCCAATTCTCACTCAAGATGGCTCACAAGACGTCTCCCAATTCCGATATCCTCTTTGAGAAAGGAAACTATCACGCGGTTGAGAACAGCATTGTCTTGGTGTATGGATTGCATGACGTCACTCCCCAAGACGTTCAGCGAGCATGCGACATCGCGATAGAGACTTATGCGACGAAGATCTTAAACTGGCCAAATGGAAGACTCGATAAGCCGGAGATCTTCAAAGTTGAGAAGCTTGATCAAGAACTTAAAGATCTGGACGATTGTATTGAACGATTTGCTAGTCATCTCTATGGCGTCTTTGAGGCGTCACCACCAAAAGACCTGCTCATCTACCCTCACACGTTCGTTGTTATGGACGAGAACTGCTTCAGGGCTGATGCGACTGCTACTCTGGTTGTTGCGCATAAACCAGAGGATGAATGGAGAGTCCAACAATGCTCTGTGCCCGTTGAGGTTGAGCTTGGTCTGGCTGTTGAGAGCTTGAGATTGGGCGATGTGACGGAAACGGATATGCTTGATCAGTTTACCAATTAAATTAACTCATATTATACTTGCACTCAAATGACCCAAAATTCACAGGAATCTTGCATGTCTTCCAGTACTAAATCCATATGGAATGTATATGTGTCTTCTCATACATCCTCACCAACTGCAAAATATCTCCCCATTCGTCCATCAGCTTGTCGCCTCTTTCTTTGCCTTCTTAGCAAGAAGCTCATCCAACTTCTCATGGGCAGAAAGTAATGTTTCGTCACTGGTGCCAGTGTGATAAGGAGTATTGGTCGGTCCATCAGATACGCGAACAACATAGTTCTTCGGCTGATCATCAACAACTAGTCGCAGCAGATCAGGCCGTGAGTAGTGACCCACACAGTCAGTCAAGGTCTTTGCGTAGTCAATCTTATCCAGATCAATGTCGCAGTAAATCAGGCCATCGAATAGAGGATCAGTAGGCTCCGTCAACTGTCGGCCATCCGGACCAAAGACAGATGCAGCACCGCCACCACCGGCGAGCATGAAACCGTCCTTATCAGCGTTTCCTTGACCCTCACTGTTCAGCTTGGCGCCTTGGGCGGACAGTGGCTGGTTAGTTACGAGGACGTAGACAGCACCCTCGAGTGCATACATGCGACTGGCTGTTACCTCGTTGGCCTCTGAAAATACCGAGTAGGGCTCAACGGCTGATTCAGTCCATTTTGCGTTGAATGGCCAGGCAGCGATATGGACCTGTTCACCTTGGCAGTAGGTATGATACTTGAGTAGTGGCTGAAGGTGCTCTGGATAAAGTCGTTAGCAGCGCATCAGAACAATGAAATATGAACTTACCCCAGCAATTCAACATGCCAATCTTTCCCAGCGGAGTGTCTACCACGGTAGTAAGAGAATCTCCAGTGGAATCTCCAAAGATAGTCCTCTCAACATGCGTAGGCTTCGTCTTGCGACGATGAAGAAGAATATTTCCATCGGGACCAATGAGGACCTGAGCAAGATACAACGAAGCTCCGACCCGCTCACTGAAGCCAAAACATACATAGATGTTAGCAGCAGCCGTAGCTTGACGGATCTCGAGCATCTCATCCCCATAGGCAGATATGCTGTTTTGCATGTACTTCTGCACCAAAGGCATGTTCTCCCTATATGTTCCGGACCATAGAAAATTGGGATAGCCTGGAAGCCAGACCTCCGAGAACGCTATAAGAGAAGCTCCGTTCTGGCTGGCTTCGTTGATGAGATGGATTGTCTTTTTGACACCGGCGACTTTGTCGAACCAGCATGGCTCAGCCTGGCAGATGGCGGCTTTCCATTGACGGATTGACATTTTGGTGAAGCGAAGATAACGGGCACAAATATGTGTTCAGATAGTACTTTGGAGTCACCAATGCTGAAATATGTAGAATATGTACTTATATACTTATTGTCTCAATATTCATAACCTTTCCATATGCAAACATGTAAGAGTGGCCATCATCTACATCACCCATTTTCTCGGGTAAGCATTATCCATAGCAGAGTTGCCGTAAGTGCTGCACTGCTAAGCAGCCTAGTGTTACCCCGCAGATTGGGAGGCTTTAGTGATATGCAGGGCCTGAAAGCACTGATGGCCTAGACCCGGCTAAGCATTATCCACCCAATCCCCTCACTGAACTTGATCTTCGCCTGTTCACATCCGTTATCTCAAGAGTGCCCGAAACACGGCATTATTGATTCAAGCGATAAGAAACTACACAGACTATGCTAGACTGCGACCACTAATGGTATCGGCTGACCTCAGTACGCGTTGCCTTGAATAGCTAATAGCTTTCATTGTTTATCTTCTAGTTGTTTTAATCAAGCAGCGTCGCCCGGATATCCCGGTTCTGTAAACAGCGTGCCTATCCATCCCTGGTAGTCCAGACCTTCGCTAGTCATGAATGGAATATCCATGTCAAAGCAGTGGGGACCTTCTGCTATCCAAAGCGAACTATGAGACTCATCGTCATCAAGCGCTTGTGTTGTACTTCTGGTAGTATCCCCAATAACCTGCCGGCTTTCTTCTTCATTGATCCCAAGTGCACCAAATGCATCTTCGCTAACTGACCATTCCCGAGCCAATTGGCGAATTGCAAACAGTGCACGCTGGCTCCAAGCCCAAGCAGTACTCATATCAGCGAGCGCTTCAGCTAATACTTTTAATGAAGCTATAGCGCGATCACGGTCTTTAGTATCTGTAGACGTAGTTTCGAGGAGAAGAATAATTGATGCCGTGAAAGCACAGTGGATGGCTGAGATTGGTATTCGTCGCTAAGACAACAGTTAGCATCGTGATTCCAATGTGACGGGAAGAGTTGCTAACCAAAGTATAGTGTTTGCTGTAAAGCCGGAAAATATTCGAGATGGAATGCGAGGACTGACTACATTCTTTGAGATGACTTGATCCAGTGCTGGGATGAAAGTTGCCAGGGTCCAGTGTCCTTCGCTGCACTCCAACGAAGGGTCGGTGCAGCAAGATTATGGCAACATGAATCTGAAGACTGCAGCGCCATAAGTACTTAGAGTTTTGAAAGGCAGCATTTTCGAACTTACTGGAGCAAGTATATGTGAGGTAGAGTAGGCGCGAGTGGTGATGGTGAAAGACGAAGACAGCTTGGAAGATTTATCTGAAACTCAATGATATTGACATGCGTTTTGGTGACGAGTTCCATAATCCGAGACTTGGCATGTTGACTGCCCGGTCTATATCTTTGGAGACCTTAGTGCTGAATGAGCGGACGAGGAATATGACTTACATCTCGTCCAGGGCCGATGATGTGACTCTGAATAGCTGAACGGTCGCACGGACATTCGAGACTTGATGACTCCGTGGAAAAACAATAGGTTCGCCGATTGGGGACTCAGAGTGCCATGATTCATACTCTGCGCTGTGATCCATAGAAGGCAGCTGGGCAGATGTTTCGTGTTCTTGGATAGTGGATGGTCGACCAAGTCCAATATTGAATAGCCTCAAGCGGTCATGTTAGCTGTAGACCTCTCTCAGCAACGGATGAAGAGGAAGCTCACTTATCTAAAACATAGCATCCCCACCAAACAATGGTCCCAACTTCTGCTTCGTCCTTGGTTATGTGTCCCGTCTCAACCCAGTGGCTGCGGTCAAGATGAAGTCCAAGGTTGAAGGCCATTCTCGCCGCCATGCCTGTATCGTCACTGTTATTATCTCGTTTGTTTAGGTGTCGATTCTCTTACCGCAATACATCCAACCAAGAGCCTCCTTGTCAGTAGCTATCTCTCGTAGCCCAAGTAACGCTGTCGCTTGAACTGTTGTTACTTTCGGCGCCTGGCTCTCGTAGAACAGTATCATCTTAGCCTGCTCAGCCAAAGCATTCCCCGCCGTATTTTGTTCAAGAGGATCACTTCGAAGCTCAACACGATCCGAGTACCTGGCTGCAAGCGCCAATACTGCAGAAAGCAACAGAGGCGAAGCATATCGGCCGGAATGAGTTATGTACAGATCCTCGAGGAACAGTTCCTTGACGACGAGGTACTGCCATGTATTCTGCCAACTCCAAAAGAGGTCCAAGAGATGGTTTCTTAGCTCGTCTGATACTTCGATACGAAGATTTAGCTGGTCTAGTGTATCTGCCGCCTGCTTTTGTAAGTCACGAGAGGATACTGTCGAGCTTGCTACAGGACTGTTCTTCAGTAGTGAGAAGTTACTCCTAGATCCGAAGTAGTGGATCTGGCCATCTTCGCCAATGTTGAGGGCTCCAAGTCGGTCGCTTATGTCCTTGATCGGAGATCTGTAGCTCGAATCGTCAGGAAGAGAATCACCCTCGGAATTACTGTAACTATCTTCGATAGAGCTCGATAGGCCTCTATCTTGAGTTCCAGTGTTGCTCTGGAACCGCTCGAGCTGGGCTTCTAATGTTCTGATCCTTTCCTGGAGCGCCTCGACATAACGTTTGCTTGGGGGTCTGTGATTAAAGTTAGATGCTGATCGCTTCCTCTATCAAATTTCAACATCAAATCGCGGACTTGTTTACTTTCTGTTACTGTCCTGGGTTGTGTATTCACAGACCTCCCCGGCCGTATTACACGTCGAACAGGAAGGCCGCTGGCCATCACACTACATACATTTTTAGCATCATACAGATCTCCTCTGCCAATCAAAACATGAGCTTACCTTGACCCGCTTGGTGCGACATGTGCTGCAAGCTAAAGCTGACCGTTGCCTCGGCTTTCCAGAAACTGTCACCTGAGATCTCATGGTACAGATAATGGCAGGAATAGGCAGATTGTTGAACTAGCAATAGGCATTGAAGCGGGGTTATAGGCAGCACGTGATGTATTTTGGTGTTTCCCTTATCTAACTTAGTTTTGCGCCTGTCTAAGCTAGCATCAGTCCGGAACTAAATGAGAGACGGCTATACAATGGTACCAAATCCGGATGTACCCAGATCCTTCCAGTTCGCCAAGAAGATGACTTGGTCCAGTGCGACAACGTTGGTTAATTTTTCCTATAGAATTTTAGGGCTCCTGAAAGTATCAAGGGGAGCACGCCACTGATGAGGAACATAGTTAAAAGGTTCCGGGTAGGCATCAAAGGAGGCAAGGCTATATGATGCCGAGTACAGCCGTGCAGCCACAAACTACCTATCACTAGATATGTTTCACTCATTACCGAATATGAGCTTCGGGGTGGTTTAGATAGCTGATAAATAACAAGGCGACAATGATGGTTAAGCATTATCCAGCAAGTCTTCATATTGCCAGCCACGCTACGATAAGCTTCATCCCCGCATACTAGCGTAGCCAAGAGCGGAGTCCATCTCAAGCGGCACTTGTCTCTAAGTTCGGAAGCTGATTGGTTGTCTCTATCCGGGTAAGCATTATCCAGTGCTGTTATCTGGTTTTGACTACTTGTGGAATAGTACGACAAGCCATTTAGATAGTCTCCTCCAGTGAACCACCGTATTGCTCAGTTAAGATTGCAGTAAACAGACCATTGACAGTGGTAGGACTATTTGAACCTCCCAGTGCCGCCTCAGAGATCTAGGTAAGTTGCAGAAACAATCGTTCCGAATACCATTGCGCTCTTCAACGACTGCTTCTAATACAGCATGGCACTCATCAAGTTTCGCGGCAAACCACTTAGTGGTTATAACATTCTCGTACGTATTGCTTCGTTATATCGTTGGAAATCATCTAATAGCAATGTCAACAGATCATCGCCTTTGCAACCTTTGGGAGTATCACCTACGGATACTGTTCCGCCATCATAGGATCAACCCTCGGCCAACCATCCTTCCTCCATTACTTCGGTCTCGATACAGCCAGTAACGCAGCTGCGCTCATTGGCGCAATCAATGGACTCTTCCAAGGCGGTGGCCTCATCGGCACATTGACCTTTGGGGCCGTCGCTGACAAGTTCGGTCGATGCAAGGCTATGTTCTTGGCAAGCGTACTCGCTATTATTGGCGGCGGTCTTCAGGCTGGTTCTGTCCGCTTGGCAATGTATCTCGTCGCGAGGTTTATTACAGGCCTGGCTATCGGCGGACTCGTCATGCTTGTGCCTCTTTGGCAGAGTGAAGTTGCGCCTCCTCATGCCCGTGGCCTCCTCGTTGGTCTTCACGGTGTTTCGATCTTGGTGGGATACTCATCGTCCGCTTGGGTCGGATTCGGCTTCTTCTTCGTCAATGCGGACGGGGCTCAGTGGCGTCCCCCTCTGGCCATACAGTGCTTGCCTCCGCTCATTCTGGCATGCGGTGTTTACTTCATTCCGGAGTCTCCACGATGGCTTATCGACAACGATCAGCACGAAAGAGCTGAGGCTGTTTTGCAGCGCATCTACGCAGACTCAAGCGATCCCGACAACCATGCAGCCAAGGCCGAGTTCGCCCAGATCCGCGCTCAGGTAGAACTTGAGCGTCATTTGCCATCGTCTTGGGCTTCCCTCTTCACTGTCCCTCATTACCGGAAACGTGCCTTGATTGGGTTCACGACTCTTCTGGCTGGCCAACTTACAGGAACCACTGTCATCAACAACTATGGACCTTCGCTATACGCAGCTCTCGGACATGGCGCTTCTGCTAGTCTCGCGCTCTCGGCTGGATGGCTCACCGAAGGACTTGTCTGCAATGCCATCAATGCCGTTCTCCTTGACTACGTCGGACGAAAGTGGCTGATGGTGACCGGTCTTATTGGTTGTGCTATTTCCCTTCTTGGTGTAAGTATCATGGTCGCTCTCTACGGAGGCACGACAAATAAGGGCGGCAATTCGGCTGGTGTCTTCTTCTTGTATCTACACCTCACCTTCTATGCCACCTGTATGGATGCCTCGACTTATGTGTATGGCTCTGAGATCTGGCCTACTCATCTTCGAGGGAAAGGATTTGCGATATCCTGTGCCGGTCTCTTCGTTGGCTCTCTTACTCTTCTCGAGGCTGCACCAACTGCATTTCAGACAATTGGCTGGAGGTTTTATCTGATCATGATGGCTTTCACGATTATTTGTGCCATCATCTTCGCCCTCTTCTTCCCTGAGACTAAGGGCATGACTCTAGAGGAGATTTCAGCTCTCTTTGATGATGAGGTTGCTATCGAGGCATCGAGTGATACCAAGACCTTGTCTATTGCCAGCGAGAAGGAAAAGGTAAAGGCTTAGGTTCATACGTGCTGGCTCTTGAACAATTATGACGAGGCTCGGGAGATCTTCCTTCTTAATTGTTTTATATTAGTCTATTAATATGAGTTAAAATGTCTTTGAGCAAATCCATAACTATGTGCAATTGAACCCCGCCAGTCTTGGCAGTTCCCACAGCAGAATTTACAGTCATCCGCTGTGCTGCAGCTAGGACGCACCTACATATTACCGCCGTAGTAGCTGTTGGTGGAGATATGGGTCCTCCACCTACCAATGCAAGGACAGCCTACGACTGATCATCTCACATTCTGACGGATAAATCGCCGACTGGTTCGTTGATCCACTTCCGGTGTAACCTCCATAGTCAGAACATAAGTTGTAGGTTCCCCGCATCGACTGTCCGAAGTTCTTCAGAGGAGTTACTTTTCAAAGCATCGAGAAACCTTCATTCACTACTCTCCCCAAATATCCTTTCTCTCGCAGTAATCATGTTGCGTCAAATCCACCTGGATAAAGGTTGGAAATTCAAGCAAGCCAGTTCTCTCAACGATGCCGCTGCTTCGTCCTTCCTACCTGTCGCTCAATTCCCAACTGTCGCTCATATTGATCTTTTGCATCATGAGTTGATCCCCGATCCCTACATCGACATCAATGAACTAAAGTGCCTTTGGGTCAATGATGCCGACTGGACATATCGTACCGAGGAGATTTCCCCGCTCGATCTAAAATCGACTGAAAAGGCAGAGCTTGTTTTTGAGGGTCTTGATACAGTGGTTGACGTGTATCTGAATGGTTCGCATATCTTGTTCAGCAATAATATGCATAGGTCTCATCGCATCGATGTCACCGACATGCTGCGGGGCAGAGGGAAACCATCTGTTCTTGAGCTCCGGTTCAGAGCTGCTCCAGCATATGGTCGTTCTGAACGGGAGCGTATTGGATACAAGACTACCAAGTTTGGAAGAGGTGTCAACTTTGGCGGCTCTGAGAGGCTCTTCGTCAGGAAGGCTCAGTATCATTGGGGTTGGGACTGGGGACCAGCCGTCAACACTAGTGGTCCTTGGAAGCCCATATTCTTGGAGCTCTATGAGTCGCGCATCATTGATCTCAGGGTCACACAGAATGTTGCTCCAGATCTCTCTTCTGTGGACATCAAAGTTAAAGCCCAATTGGAGGGTCACGAGAGTATCAATGAGGTTAAGGTTCAGTTACTGGACGTTGAAACAGGGGCCATCGTAGTTGATGATAAAGCATTGAAATCGACGAAGGGAGCCCTATCCTTCACGATCAAACTCAACAAGCCAAAGCTATGGTACCCGTTCTTGTATGGAGAACAGAACCTCTATCTCCTTCAAGTCAGCATTCCCAATCATACTGTGAGCAGGCAGCTGGGCATCAGAAGACTGCGTCTGCTACAGCATCCACTCAAAGACCAGCCAGGCACTTCATTCATCTTTGAAGTCAACAAAATTCGTCTCTTCAGCGGCGGCTCATGTTGGATTCCTGCGGACTTCATGCTACCGCGAGTGTCAAAGGGTACCTACGAGAAATGGATCACTCTTGCTAAAGCAGGCAACCAGTCCATGATTCGTGTCTGGGGCGGCGGGATTGTTGAGAGCGACAACTTTTATGACATATGCGACCGTGAAGGCATCATGGTCTGGCAAGACTTCCTATACGCATGCGGAAACTACCCAGCCTCGCCAGACTTCGTTGCCAATGTCAAGATCGAAGCGGAACAGCAAGTGCAGCGTGTTGGCCACCATCCCTCTCTTGTCTTGTGGTGCGGAAACAATGAGGATTACATGTGCGCAGACGGAGATCGGTGCTGGGAGGTTGACTACAGTGACACTACTGGTCCATGGGACAAGACCACATTTCCAGCACGCGAGATCTACGAACGCACTCTCCCCTCCGTCATCAAAGCATCGGGAACTGATGTCCCATATTGGATTAGTTCTCCTTATGGTGGAAGCTACTCCAACGACACAACGGTTGGTGACACGCACTGCTGGGATGTGTGGCATGGCAAGATGTCACCATACCAGGACTACAAAGCCTACATGTCCCGTTTCATCTCGGAATTTGGCTTCGAGTCAGCTCCCAGTATCCAGACTCTTCACCGAGCTATCACGTCTCCTCAGGAGCGTCATGCACAGTCGAGAACTTTCGACGTCCACGATAAAGGCCCTGGTCATCAAAGACGGTACCCGATGTACATGGGCGAGAACTATCGGTTCCGCATGAATCCTCTCGAAGACTTTGTGTACTGCACACAGTTTCTCCAAGCTGAAGCGATGGCATATGCTTATAACTGTTGGCGCCGTGAGTTCCGTGGACCTGGAGAGGAGAATTGCGGTGGCGTTTTGGTCTGGCAGCTAAACGATATCTGGCCTGGTATCAGTTGGGCCCTGGTTGATGTCGACATGAATCCCAAACCTGCATACTACATCACTAAGCGAGCATTGGACAAGGTGGTTGTGGGGATGGAACGCGTCGTCACGGAGAAGCCACCTTATATCACCACTGGCTATCTGGATAAGAAGCACAAGGTCGACGTTTGGGCTGTCAATGGACATTTGCATGAGATAAGAGTCACCCTGGAGGTCAAGGCATTTGATATCCAAAGCGGAAAAGCAGTCCGATGGAAAGATGCTGTCACGTCAAAGGAACATGTCCTCAAAGGAAACCGTTCAACCGAGCTTATGGCTGGACTGAAGATTCCAAATCCAGATGAGACGGTCTTGGTTGCATACATACGAGACGTCTCATCTGGAGAACAACTCGCCAGATGGGTGAGCTGGCCAGAGCCTCTCAAGTATGTGCACATGTCTCCTGATCTCAAGGTCACGACGGAAATAGTGGATGATGGATCCGCAGTCGTTGTAAGAGCCAATGCACCGGCCAAAGGAGTTGTGTTGAGTGCATCCGACAGTGAGGCCAAGAATCTGGTCTTTGACAATAACTTCATCGATCTGGTACCAGACGAGGAAGTGAGAGTCGGGGTGACTGGCCTCTCGGGTGATGGTGTTGACGTTAGGTTTCTTTATGACTGGGAACTCGAACCGGGATTTAAGCTGTGATACTGCCTTAATAAGATATATTATTGGCCTCTAGTGAGGCTTACCAGGGAGCTATGATAATAGAAGCCTAACCGCTAAGGTTGAAACTAGCTGCTGGTTTGCGAGTCTTTGGCTCCCAGACCCGGTGAGCCTATTCATGTGTTATAGTACATTCTGAACCAGCCACGATTCAGTCTAGACAGGCTGCATTAAATCCAGGAATTTGCGACCCTCGACAAAAATGCTCCACTAGACCGCCGGATTTCCGATGACCCGGCCATGCGTTTATCCTATTCTGGGGGCTGACTGTCAGGCTGTGATGGCCCGGTGCCCATGTTGGTAACTCGCTACCGATTGTGATTGGCAGTGTGTTGGCGGGGGATGGTTGAAAAGCCAAGATAAGCAGGTCATCCTCCTCTACCCCTCACAAGTTGCTTTTTCTCGTCTGACTTTCTTTTTCAGCATTCAATCGGCAAATTGTTCTCCTCTCGCTACGATCACGTCTCTGCGCGCGAACATGACACTGTGCAGTCTTTGCAGGACAATCCCCTTTGATAAACTCCCTACGGTTCCCCGGGATATTAAAGATGGATATATGACCGGGAATCCTTATATCCAACACTTCTACAGCTGGCCTCCGGAGGATAAAGGTTTCTTGCATTACCAAAGCCTGGATGCTCTACAGAGATCCGCATCAGAATTGCATTGCCCTCTCTGCAATCTTATTCTAGATCAGGTGCTTTTGTGCCAAGCAGAACTTGAAAAGCTCAAGCCGGGTTGGGAACTGAATAGAGCACATGAGTATGCGTGGCCGCTCTGGGAGTTCTGGCTCATTAAACCTGCCTCTGGGAGAGATGGCTTTTGGGTTATGACATTCACGGATGAACTGGGATTCAAAGATGAAGTAAGAAGACGTGAGGCAAGACTGGTTGCAGCCGTTGGTCTCTGCGTCGAAAATGGTAGGTTTAACCAATACAACCAAAGGGATAGCATTGATATTATTAGGTGACCCACTGGAGGGCGTTATCCCCGGTCGCCCAGTTGAAATACAAAGAGGAACGCCTACAGCACTTGGTAGAGTGTGCAATTGGCTTAAGGACTGTGATAAACACCCTCACTGCAGTCCAACACAGGATTTCTTGCCAACTCGCGTTATCGATGTTGGAAAGGAATTCAACAGTCCTTACGTTAGGCTACGCGAAACCCAGAAATACGATGCGGGACGATATGTGGCCTTGAGGTATCTGAGTCCATGATCTTAAGACCTATTAAAGATTTATGCTGATACATAGTGTACAGCTATTGTTGGGGAGAAATGCCACAATTTACTACTACTAGGTCTACGCTTCAGGACCGAAAGGATGGTATCCTGGTATCTAGTCTACCAAAAACGCATCAAGATGCCATTCAGATTACCCAAAGGCTTGGGGTGAGATATCTGTGGATAGATAGCATTTGTATATGCCAAGGCGATAAGGAAGACTGGGAACGAGAATCAGCAAAGATGCTTTCAGTCTATGCTAACTCATATCTAACTATCGCAGCATCTAATGGCAAAGATAGTCATGAAGGATTGTTTAACGAGATATCAGCGAGAAAATACGTTCAGATTGATCTCGTGTTAGGAAATCTTCAAGGTCAAGCTTTGGCCTTCAGCCTTCCTCTCCAAGAAGAGAGTTTCAGCACCGGGTGCTTGATGAAAGACAATCGTCCAACCTTTCCCCTATTTGTGGACTATATAACTTTGCCTAAAGAACCTCTCTCCAGACGCGCTTGGACTTTACAGGAGCGTGTTTTATCTCATAGAACTCTCCACTACAGCAGTCAGCAAATGCTATTCGAATGCAACGAAGCATTTCGCGGAGAGGACGGCTTGTTCTTTCAAGCTAGATTCGACACTATACATCAAAAGGGGAGCGAAAGAGATGCTGCAGCGATTGATCATGAAAGCGAGCATTCCATTTACAAAGACGCGTTATTGAAGTCGTGGTATAGACTGGTTCAGCTGTATGGACAACGACATCTCTCAGTACCAGCGGACAAACTTCCTGCTATATCAGGCCTTGCCAGCATCTTTGCAGAGCGGTTGGGTGACCAGTACCTAGCTGGGCTTTGGCGATCTGACCTCGTGGTGGGGCTGTGCTGGCAAGGTTTGAAACACGGGCGCAGACGCGTGAGAGAGTACAGGGCTCCTTCTTGGTCGTGGGCATCAGTAGATGGGCATATTTCATTGGGCTTTCCACTTGCTTATAACATATTGGCGACGATCATGGATGCTGAAGTTAGGCTCAAAGGCGCAAATCCCTATGGCGAGGTCCTGGAAGGAAAGATTGAGATCTTTGCGCCGATGGAACGTCTGTGTCCGGTTCGAGGAGAATCAAAGCAGCCGGCTGAGTTTGAATTGCGGACGGAAAACGCTCGGACTGTACGTACAATGTGCTGCTTCGACTCCATTGAGTTCTCTGAAGTTCTTTTCAAGGAGGCAGGTGGAATACCTGAGAATGTTCAAGGGAGAGAGTTTTTTGCTTTACTTCTTATAGAGCTAGCAGGCATAAGAGATGAAAATCTCCCATTCTTGGGTTTGGTTGTTGAAAGGATTCAGGGAAAGGAAGAGTATCAGAGGGTCGGGAACTTTAGGACTTCTCGAAAAGCATTAAGAAAAGAGACTAAAGGGAGAGAAAAGGGTCAAGGTCAGTTAATAACCCTTATATAAGCATTAAGCACATATCAGGCAAAGTGGGAACAAACAAGACTGAGAACTCAAATCGGGATTTTTGGTGTGATACTACCTCATTAGGGTACATTACAGCGTATCTATTACATCGGCTAATTATACTGAATTATTGCAACTGGCTGGTTAGAGTAGCTGAGAGCTTAAATCAGCCGAGAGAACTTAGTTCTTACTTAATCCTTACCTAGTGCAGTGTTCTGCCTGCTAATTGCAAATTCCGTGGCTAGGGAGGCTCAGCAATTAACATATATTTTTTTAGTAAATTCCTATATGAGAAATCAATTTTTACTTCTTTTCATGCCCTGGCAAGTTTGAAAGATACTGGTCATATAACTCTTCCCAAGTCATACCAACCCACTTTGCCATCTCTTCAGCTCCTTTCCCCATCCAGACACCATGAAAAGGAGATATTTCCAACTGGATGGCTGCACCTTTAAGAATCAGGTATTGCATGAGAATTGCGGCCTCTCTACTAGTATTCTTAGAAGCAAGGTGTAGGGCAGTGAGTCCGGTTCCGTTTGCATCCCGGGGAAATTCCATAGAAGCACCTAAAGCGATAAGTTCCTGGGATAAGAGTAGAGAGCAACTGGACTTTGCAACGTTTGTGAGCAAAAGTCCCAAAGAGCGGGTGCTAAACTGGTTCCCCAGCCTTCTCAAGGTATGTTTTACCCTGGCCTCCTTCATGGGGTTGTTCTTAATGTCGGTGAACAATGTACGATTGAAAATGAACTCTAACGTGACTCTTTCCCTGTTACTGGGCCCAGTTTTGACAGTAGGCGGCAAGGTTGTAAGATAATCCTCCCATAGAGCATATATCTCCTCTGACTTGCTGGAAAGAGTGACCTTCATCATATCGACGCAGGCTTCTGGTTCGGTTTGAGGAATTGCCCATTTGGCAAAATCGACATCTTGGCTCTGAATAGCTAACTTGATGATTGATCCAGGTGCTTTAGGCCGATCTGTTGGCGCCAGAAGCTGCGTTAACACCAGAGATCCAGTCTTCGCTGCAAGCCTCCTGGCAGACTCGATGATACTGGGCCGGAGATTCTCCCCTGCTGGAGATGTTAACAGGCGTTGGACACCGTCAACGTCCCCTTCAAGGACTAAGGCTGGTAAGAACCGTTGAAGTTCAATGACGTCCATTTTATCGAAGTCACTAGCTCCCATTCGAAGCTCCTCTGGAGCAGGCAAGTGAACTTTGAGCCAATGTTCATCGCGTCGCGACTTTGTAGAAAATCCGAGGGTAGAAAAGTCGCAAATTGAGGACAAACATTTCCAAGGCTTTCCATGGTTTCTCATGTGCTCATTTAGTTCTCCAGGGGTCTTGAAACCCCGGAAACTATGTTCACAGAAGGCATAGGTGCATCGGAAGAAGTTAGAGCCGTAACTAGATCTCAGCAAAGACAGGGTCAAATTCTCGTTACGGTCCACGAGACTTGAGTGTTGTTGCTGGATTCGTAGTAACATTTTTGAAGTAGTCAGAGGATTGAAGTTGATCCATGTGTCACCTAAAGATATGTTAGCCTGTATTTATATCAAGGTTCATCAATGGTGACCTTACTATTGCCCCAATTCCAATCCAATCTTTTATCGTCAAGATAGAACCTCAAGGTCTCAAGTAACATTGAGAAGACTTTGGGAGAATCCTTCCGTAGTTCCGGGCATCTGAAAGGCGGTCCAGATTCATCAGTGGGTTGAATAAACGAATGGTTCTTTCCTTGCTGTAACATGATATCCAGAAACCTTACAAGGGTGCGAGAATAGTTGTGGCCGAGTGTTTGATATATCAATGTAGGCCAGTGATAGCATCCGTACTCAAAAAGTCGATACTTTCCGATGAGCATATTGCCCCGGATCTCGTCAATCTCCAAATCTGCGTCCATGAGTGTTAGATTCAGATAGGAAACAATGGTCCTGGCGAGCTCTTTCGTAGAGAAGTCCTTGTCGATAGAATCAGTGACGGTGCTGCTGAAAAGGTATCTAATAAAAGTTAAGACCTGTCGTTAAAAGCAGAAGATAAGTTTCAACGATACGCACTCATGAACTGTAAAGTGGACAAACTGCAGTTTCTCTTCCACAACCTCTATGATGGGGCCACACATTTTGACAAAGTTGAACTTATTAATAATTATCGGCACTTGTTTGACGTTTGCTCTAGTGCGAAATCTGACTGCAAGGGCTTGTTCCATCTCTGGCACCGTCATAGCCAGCGGAGCACAGCCGATCCAACCTAGAAGCCTTCGGCATTTAGAACGAAGCGTGTCATCAAGTGTATTGATTCGATGAAAAATGCGATGGTACCTTGGGGTATGTGTTAGTTACATCTTTATGGGCAACGTGCCTGGCAAACTTACGCGCCCTCGAGATCGTTTGGTAAGGCCTTGAGCTCGTCTCGGATCTCTTCGATAGTATTCATCTGTTCCAGGTTATCCAGAATAATCCGCGCATATAGAAACATTCCTAATCGAGATAGAGATGTTATTATGAAATTCTCAATTCTAGTAGATGTTGTGGCAGGGCTTACCATTTGCCTTGGCTAGTATTGGTGAAACTGATTGAAACAGCTCCTTTCTGACTGCTGGATCAAACCCCTGATCCGCCAGCCATCGTTCCCATCTTTTGTCGATGTAGGTTTGAATACTCTCCGAGTTCCTGTGATCGACCCGAATCGCCGTAACTCTATCTTGAAGGGCTGTAGCGATATCATCTTCAGCTCGGCTTGAAATCAATAGCCTCAGATCACTGCAATCCTTAGACAACTCATCGAACCGCTTCAACAGAATCTGGCGTTCATATTCGTCCATTTCATCGAGTCCATCAATGATGATGTGGGTGCGTCCAGCGGTAGTCAGGAACGTTTTGAGCAAGTCTAACACAAAGCTTGTATTACCCTGAAGCTCTCGTTCCTTTGAATCGAGTAAACGAGTTTGAAAGCTTTGATCATCTTCAGCAGCTTGAAAGAGAAGGGAATGTAGGATTGATAAGGCAGATTGGCTGCTTCTCATCTTGTATGATATAAACGCGAAAAGTGTCTGGTGATGTTCCCTAGTATGGTCAATGGCTGCCGCCGACAAATAGGTCTTACCTGCGCCAGGGATTCCCTGAAGCCAAAGCCATGTTGTGTTGTTGCTATTGGGGTCCATCCATTCGCCAAACTCCCGATCATCCATCAACCATGTCGCGCAGCCAGAGACACATCTGTTGCGAAACCAGTCCAGACGGCTGTCATACAACTCTGGCGATACTCTAGATCTGAGGGAGCGAAATCTTTGAAGCTGTTGGGAAGCTTCGGCTCGGCTTAGCTGCTCTGACGTGCGAGCTCGAGCTTCTCTTGCTTCTTGGATGTCGATAAATGTAACTTCATTCTTCATCAAAAGTGAGTGTTTTTCGAGATTATTGATAACGGGATCAATTTTCTTCAAGCAGTTGGGCCACAGGACTTCGAAAAACTGCATCCACCCTGTACATAAGAGGTTATCTTAGAACTTATCGTTTGCTAAAATTGAGAGAAACTCACTGGTTTTACGAAAAAAGTGGAAGAGAATAGCATAGAGTTCAAGTATGTCCTCATAATAAAGAGTCAAAGCTGACTTGACCGCATCGCTAGAATTGAATGTCTGTGCCATTCTGGCAAAGTGCGGAAGAGCATAGCCAACCCGTTCTAAGACATCGGCAACTTTGTCCAGAACAGAGCTGATCTGGTTAGACCAGTGCAATATGATCCTGATAGGGCCCCATATCAAAGCCAAGATATCCGGTTTTACTTGAACAAATACTTCAATTACGCTAGCGTACTCAGAGAGTCTGTCAAGAAAAGGCTTGATCTTCGCAAGGTGCCGGAGCTTGCCCTGCGGGGCAAGTTTGGATTGAATGTCATTGGTAAGCTTATAAACCTCTTCAATAGTTCCTGTAGTCAATATTTCGTCGTAAATGTTTGGATTCTCGACTTTGCTTCGGAAGGCTTGTCGCGCTTGTTCTAGTGCTTGCTGTGCTGGAGTACTGGTTGACATGGTTGGAATACTGAAACACTCATGAAGAGTGTGACGTTGAGGGGAGGAGAGAACATATTTATGGCGCATAGGTAGGGAAATAGCTGAAGGAAATCCCATCTGAGACATAAGCGCTAAGACTACAGCCATGCAGTATTGGTGTGTGATTGTGTCTCAGAGATAACCAACATGCATATAATGACCTAATCAGGCGAATCGGATCCCTGCATTCATGGACCTGAAACTGCGGCCACTCCATCTTCGTCTCGCCTGTTTTATCTCAATACCAATTAAATGATAATTATACTTTTACCATTGCGATCAGGCGTTGGCCAAAGACAGGCTTACTCAGGCATACAACGAGGTGGCGCGTCGCATCGTGCTAAGCCCTTATCTAGAATTGGCCGCTCCATAATTCTCTTCATTCCTCGTCACCTCTCATTCTCACGCCTCAGAATCACGCCACAGCCATGTCGTTGCCAAATCTCAAGAGGTCAAGTATAACCTTGAATGATTTCAGAGTTAAGAAAAGAGCAAGGCACGCCAGTGACGATGAGGGCATTGCAGCACAGGAGAGCTCTACTGTGCAACCGCTTGAGCCGGGCCACGTCAGAGCCAACCCTATACTACTCGACGATACATCTTCGCCGCTGCCGGAGATATTGGAAGACCATCGCCAGCCGCCTTATTCACAACATCCTAAGTCCGAGTACCAGGCTGAAACAGGACGGTCTCGCGTTGCAGCCGCTAGTGTAGCAAGAGCTTCAACTCCGCCAGAGGCATACGATATATGCTTTGGCATGGTATGACACGCCTGCCTGCTTTTGACCAAGGAAGCGTCAATTTAACTTTTTCTAGCTGATGGTAAAGGCCACATGCACACAAAATAATGAGCTACCTCAGGAATGCACACCCGTTGAAATTGATTTCGAGGGTAGGTTACTGAGGGTGCGAGAAGAAAATTCGAACCGACAAATCGCCCTGGTGGTATCCAACGCTCTCTCTAGACTTGTCAATGAGTTTTCTGTCACTCTGACGGCAAATATATGTGGGAAAAAGCCGCCGATTGTCTATACGTCCAACAAAAAAGGGCAAACAGCATCTGAAATGGATATCGTCAAGTTCTGCTCATTACGGGTTGTTGTATACGGTTTCCTTCTACAAAAAGACAACATATCGGCTATCCTTGCGCAGGAGGAATTGTTTCTCCAGCATCCAGGGAAGACTGAATTTGACAGGAATGTCAAGTACTTAAATCCTCATTATCTTCTGCCTCCAGGGCAAAACATGCTGGAGGTGGAGAGACTCACTACATACGAATGCTGTCTGAGATGGTCATCACATTCCCGAGAGCTGCAGACTTCCATGTCTGAGCATCAACAAAGCCAGATTCTTCAAATATTTAACACGGCCTCTCAGCCTAACTGTGACTTAGAGACGATCGAGACCAGTCCTAGATTGGTAACGAAGTTGAAGAGGTAGGCTTGAATGTCTAGGGCACACGAATATAACCAGAATTCAAGACATATAGGACATATACTGACAAACCTCTTGTAGTCACCAGGTCGAAGCTCTGGTCATGATGATAGAGAAAGAAGCAGGTATCTATGATAACGCAAAGTTCCCAGCCGTATGGGTACCGCATAAATCTCCGAAGGGGGATATCAGGTCAGTCATGGAATTGAAAGCTTAGCACCGCCTATATCTGGGACAAGTCTGCCTCTGTCTGAAGCCATGACTAAAAATGCATCTAAGCCGGTACCCCCGCCATCTGCCAAAGTCCAGGCACTTATCAGGAATATTACCAGAGCAGACAAGACACCGGGGAGCGGAGTGAAGCAACCAAAGAGGTATGTAGTTTCTGATTCCAGGAGCATGTGCCTTTCACTAAATCTATCAGTGTGGTTTTTAGTTTCTGGACTAAAATGCTCGATCTTGTTGGCCATGCGCTTAGTAGCCAAGGTTTCCGGTTCCAGAGGATTGATGGGCAGTCATCAATATCGCAACGCAAAATAGCATTAGAGACATTTGGAAGCGACCCTGAGTGCAGTGTCATGTTGGCGAGCATAGGAGCTGCTGGAGAAGGGTGCGGCCCAGATTACTCTTCTGTGAAATCCCTTGCTAATCGCTGTGTAGGATCGACCTCACCTCGGCCAGTGCAGTCCACATTGTTGAGCCCCACTGGAACCCTATGGCCGAGGCTCAGGCTGTGGACCGTGTACATCGGATTGGACAACAAAGGGATGTTGAGGTTATTAGGTATATTGCCAATGACTCGATTGAGCAGGTATTAGCTTGTCTTATAGCTAAAGGAAGCAAGGACTAACTCTGTTTTGTAGTATGTTCAATGGATGCAAAGGGACAAGCAACGGCTAATTGCAGAATCTCTTTCAATATCTGAGGAGAAACTTCAAGATGTCAATGAAGTCCGATGGAAGGTAGGTTGGTTCTTTTTATCTAGATTCAAGCACACTGACATACGTTTTAGAAACTTATAGAGTTTCTAGAATAAGTATCTTCAAGGACGGCGCTTTGCTTGGATTTAGTTCTTAGGTATAGAAACCTATTAATAAACTCAAGAGATACAATTGTTATTACCAATGCTGGAATTAACCTAGACTACTCATTGTTAAGGAAAGTCATCTAGCCTTATGGCTTCAAGCCACTTACTTACGTAGAAGATAAATCATCTTACTGGTATATGTACTTAAGGTTATAGGGTTAGAAATTATTTTCAATTTACCAAAATGCCTATCATCTATAGGCTTTGGACTGGATCAACGAAAATGGGACTAGGTACGAGTTCATAGCCATTTTATTCCAAGCATTTAATCTCAATACTCCAATGATCCAATCGTCTCCAGTTGCTGGGAGCTTAAAAGCAAGTGCCTTGTGGAAAGCTGTTAACTCCACATTTGCAATGCCCTTCATCGGTGGCATCTCCAGAGCGTTTGTAGCAACAGCGCTCGTAGAATCCACAGAATCCACAGTCTGCATACGAGCAGCAATACCCATTGTTGGAAGACTCCTGCTGGCATCGGATTTCTTCATCTTCAGACATCGGGACAGTGTTGTTGGCAAGCGCAATGCCAAGAAACAGGGTGAGTGCTGCTGTAGAGAATTTCATTGCTGAACTGATGTTAGCTTCTGAGATCGGATGATGAAGGAGGTATTTAAACTAACTTTTAAGTTAAAACTGAGGAGATTATCTGAAGTAATGAGAAAGGCTTATAAAAGTAAGAGAATGGGCAAAGTTGTACTGCTATCAGAAAGTTTGGGATGTTGTTTTACTTAAATAGTGCAATCTCTGAGTAGCCCTTGAGGTTTTGAGTCTTTATTAAGGGAAGAAAACAAGACACCCTCGTATAAGATGCGGCACAGTAAGGTAAGGGAGATTCAAACACGGCAGAACAAGACATACACCACGAATTCAAATAAATCGGGCCGTTTAGTCGACCCTCATACAGCCGAATTACAGCGTAATGTACTTATTTAATGAATATTGGCGACCAATTCTATCCCACCAGTTATAGGCATGCTGAAGAATGGATCCATCGCAAAGCGCCCTACTTCTACATGACGGGCAGCTCATACCAGCGAATTTGTTTGAGGCAACCCTTCACAGTCGTAAGTCGTTTCTCATACCTCTCGGCATGTAGAATGAATCAGGGTAAGAACGATGGACTCATTAATGAAAGTATTAATCTTATGTCTATATGTCAGCGCGCCGGCTTGAGATATCTCATTTGTGCTATTTGGCAAGCCAGCGACAAGTGATGCTGGGGCATAATTACTCCTCAACATAAAGGTCCAATACCAATACGACCCCATTTCTCTTGTCGTACAAACCTTATCTAGTGCACTGTTCGGTCTCCTAATTGTATTTTCCAATGCTGCTCCTAGAGAAGCACATGCATTTGTAATTAATATATATATTTAACTATAATGCTTACATTAGAAAGCAAGGCTTTAATACGTAGCTTATGCTTTTCCCATGCATTGATATAATTTACCAAGTTTACAGTTTAGAATAAGCTTTTGGCCACGGGTCTTAGCTTCAAATAGTACATGGCGGTCAGGTAACCTAAAATTCTAGTACCTCACTAGAAGGGTAGCGCTAGGCAAACGACAGGGCAGTCCTTGGTGGGATCAGCGATTCAGAAAATCTGGCGGTCTGAGCAGATCGAACGTTTCTTGAAAAAGCAAAGACCACAAAAACATGTCGTCTCATTAGCAACCAAGCTATCGTCTATTCATCAGATAAACCTCGTTCTTTCAGATGAACATGCACTCTGGCCCATCTTCACTGAGAAAACAATACTCGCCGACCATGGTTCCACCAAAGCTCCGAGGCTGTTGTGATAGCTGCACCAAAAGCAAGCTCAAGTGCAGTGGCGAGATGCCTTGTTGCCAGCGATGTCGGATACGAGGCCTGGACTGCGTATACAGCAAAGCTCGACGAGCTGGGCGTCCTCGCCTCACGCCCAAGCCAAGACAAGCATCAATCACATCCTGTATTAATCGGGAACCGCAAACCAATTTCATCAGTTATATCGACCAACCTGTCAATGACCAGCCATGTCCGGGACCCGAGTTGCCGGTCTGCCCGAACCCAGATATTCTTCTTTATTCGCCAGACACTCAGCACATCGCATATTTGATGCAGGATCCTTGGACTTCAACACCGTGTCCCAGCTCGGACGTCACACAGCCCTCGAGCGTCTGCGACTTTGATGAGTTGATGCTACAGGATATGATGTTTAATATCAACGAGAGCTTTGACTCGGTGTCTCCTACAGGTTTGAAGGAAGAACGGGGTCAAGACAACGCTCTATGCAGCGATGGCTTAGAGGATACATATCCAACATATAGCTTTACGAACGAGGGTCCCCCCAGCCATACCCCCTCAAGCCTATCTGAATTGTACAAACATACAATCCGGGACATAGAAGATTCCAATGGCCATCTTTCAGAGGTCGACATGGAAATCAATGCCATTATGGCCACTATCACAAATATCGCCAAACGTCCAATCGCATCATATCACCTCGTCGACCACCCATGTGCAAGCTCTTGGCCGCAGCTACTTAGCAATGCCCAACTGCTTATGTATATCGCTGGGTCGGTAAACTCATCCTCTCCACGTCTGGATGCCGTACTACAAATCTCTTGGGCTGCCGAGCAGGTGCAAGAGCGAATTTTAGGGTGTCCGGCCTGTAAGCCTCGAATCATGGAGGTATCTAGGATGCTGGCTTTACTGTATGACTGGATATCGTCTCAGGTTGCAGACGCTCTTGAGAGTCCTGCCGCTCTCCAGAGTTGCCGTCTCAGGATTGGTAACTCAGTTTTGACAGGGCAAAACGGGCTTATTGGGGCATATGAACTCGTCAAATATAGGATCACGAGAGCAATTCATGTGATACAGAACATCAACACAAATGCCACAGTAGAGGATGGGGATCCGGGTCAACTATATAAAATAGCCCAACTTATGCTTGAAGTAGCTGAGAGTCGGTTGGAAGCGATTTCGGGGATGATAGACCTCTTAGAAAGCGAGCAGTTTTGCAGTATATAGGAGGAAATGAAAATATGGACGCTTAGTGTATAGCTTTTTTGGATAACGGACTGCCTTTTCTCGTCTGTAACATAGATACGCGCCCATTAAATGCACCAGATATAATAAATTAATATATTGGTTTCCCTGAATATATATCTGTCTCCCTTTATTGTGTCAAATCCGTCCAGCAGTGTACTATATATCTCGAGAATTATGGAAACTGTGAAGATGTTCTTGCTACTAAGATCTTCACACGTTCCATAGCCAGTTCTATTTCCTCATCGAATCGCGGGAGGGGATCGAACGAGCCTGCTGTGCCTGACTTGCGCTTCATACCAATCCACCGAAGATTCTGTCCAATTCTTATAGCTGCGTCTCTGATAAGCCTTCTGGCGATGACTCTACTCTCAATATCGTCAAGGATAAGATTTCCAAATGTGAATTGCTCCTTCTTGTTTGCTTCTGGTGACTTTGAGCTACCATCTGAATGGCCAGACAATAGGAAGCTGTTTTCAGGTGTTTGAGTCCTTGTCGATGGCGTATAGACTCGTTGCTCTGCTTCAAGGAGCTGTAAGATATTTTTCAGAGCCAGGAGCGCATTTTTGGATGATTCGGGCATCGTTTGAACATCGAGGACATGTCCGGCTTGTAACCAACAACGTCGTCAGTTGTGTATCGAGATTCATAACAGAACCGAGACTACTCTCCTCAGGCCGAGGGTAATGAATTGGAGGAAAAGAAATGCCACTGCGACATAGGCAGGGTGCTTCACCGGACCCTTCTTGCTGGCTGTTAACAAACATCGACTCCAGGGTTGCTTGTATGTTTGCTGGAGGGTAGATGATATGGAAAAAATAGAACAAGAGTGATTCTCACGAGATGCAGTTTTTTCTATTTTGAAGGATAAGTCACATAAGTAAAATACGGCTCAAATTAGAACCGTCAACGCGAGCGGTATGAACAGTTTTATTCTTATAGATGGCACTTGGACTTGAAAACGGCAGGGCTATCTCGCTTCGTTTATTTGAACCTATCATTATCTGTACCCGCGTGCCGGAAGCCTGCCTGACTCGGTTGGCTAGGTAATGGGGGCCCGGCAATTACATAAACTTTGGAGTCTTGGAGATTTACCCAGGTACTCCCAGCCATCTCAGAATTAGTGCAAAGTATACTGATCTATTTATAAAGTATGTATAGCCTCTAAACGAAGTTGAAAGATCTATATACTATAATATCTATAAACTAAAGAAAAGAGATTCATCTTGTCCACCACTTTTGGCTCTTCAACGTCAGAATTCCAAATATCGAGGTCCAACTCAAAACCCCCAACTGAAACATCCCTGCAAGCCAAGAAAGCACCAAGCGCCATAGCAGTCTACCACTAGTGTGATAGATTTGTAGCTCGCCGACATTAGAAACATATTCCGTATCTTTCTCTCGGAGGGCATCTGGAATAAGCATGAAGCTTCTCCAAACTGTCAGGATCGAGATCTCCAGTAATATCCAAAGCGCATGTCTGGGGTATAGAATCACACATCGCAGCAACGTGTAGGTGACCAACAGCATCAGTGGCCCCTTCAGCCAAATGCACGCCACATTGATGAACGGATATATGCTTCCCGTGCCGTATTTGTTGATAAATGGTTCGTCTTCCTGCCTTTCCTTATCCACGAATTCCATGGGCTGGACGCGTCTCGGCCGCATTGCAAGCCATAGTTTCAATGTCTTCTGCACTGTCAGGGCCGGATATCCCATGCAGAGAAAGGTATAGTTGGTGCGTTCCCATCGAGAAAACATGAGCAACGCCTTTTCAAGAGTTTCAGGGGCCATGGTATGAACGACAGCGTTGCTTTGATAAACCGTCCTCCAACCGTCGCAGAGAATACGGTACGCCAGCTCCATATCTTCGCCGTGCTTTAGAGGTGAGCCAAGGAATGTACTTGTAGATAGCCTGTCGATATGAGATTGAACGGCATCGGCACGAAATGCCGAGAAAGCACCGGGAAGGATCGTGACAAATCCCTCAGCTGAGAGCGCTGAACGCGGTAGGTTGCCAATATGATCGAAGACGATGTCAAGTAGGCGCGGCAAAAGACTCTGGAACGAGAAGATGCTATCGCTCGAGATGTTCAGAACAGTCAAGTGTCCAGCGACGGCACCGATCGAGGGATCCCTGATCAGAGGACTCACGATGTTGCGAAGTGCGCCTTTCTCCACGACGCTATCTGAGTCAAGTGATATGATGATACTTCCAAGTGCGGTAGCAAATCCTGACTGAATAGCTTTCCTTTTGCCCATGTTGACAGCATGCTGTAAGAGCCGAAGTGTTATGCCGCACGAGGAGACGGAGCCTGCAGTCATGTTGACATGTTCCCACGTATCGTCAGTAGAGCCATCATCAATGACAATCAGCTCAATCCTGTCTTTGGGATAGTCTGAGAGTTCAATAGACTTGATTGAGTTTTTGACGAACTCGGACTCGTTGAACACTGGTATGACGATGCTGATGAACGGTAGCTTGTCATCATTCGAGGGAGACTGCACAGGCTCATATCTGATCCATCGCCAAACCATGTGCACGTACTCGACCTTGTAGAATATGGCGATAAGCTGCAATATTTTGGCAGGCAGCCCGATGAAGATTGGCGGAGGGGCTGGCCATGGTATAAAAGATAGTAGAAACAATCCAAATATGTTCAAAATGCCAAACAAAAGGCGAAGATTGGAGTCTGTCATTTTCAAGTGCCACAGATTGGTTCTTTAATCCCACTTTAAAGGCATAAGCAATGAAACGAATTACGTTTAGAATGATTAAGCACTGAATCTAAGGAGTGGCAGTAAAGATGGATTTGTTGCATTTAGCCTGTGGCAAAAAATAGCCCGAGCGTTTGGTAATACCGATACACTTAGACTTTCTGGAGTTTGTGGGTTAGTCGAACGACTCTGTCATCGGGTCTTTTTTCATTGGTCGTGAATCGACTGAATCTAAAAAAGTGTTGAGATCAAATGTCGGAGCTTCCATACTCGCCTCAAGTTGAGCATTTGCCGAGGCTCTATATGGCCATCGGGCTGCCCGCTCTAATGTAACGTGGAGAGAGGAGCTCTGAATATGAGTCAAGAGTCTATCGGCATTGTTCCTATGAAGCCGATGAATGAGTCGTGACAAGGGTGATGGCTATCGAGCTCAAGTGGGCAGACGGTACACTGCAGGAGTATCACACCGCCTCTTTCAATACATCTTTGCTTGGTAGAATCATACAGTGCTATTGGTATTATTCGAAGATGTGATTAATAAGCATTATCCAGTGAGTAGGCGGTGACAAGGAGCAATACGAGCCTCACATAACGCAGACCTTCATCCGGGAAAGACAATGCTTGCGAGCTGTTGTATAGCCCACAGAGGACATCGACACCACAACCTCTTACATACATATCTAATAGAATAAGAAATAACTCGGCTATTGGCATTCCCAAAGCAAATTTAAGTATAGAGATATATTTATTTCGTCTATATCTATAATACTTTACATAAACGTTTTCTATATGTTAAAGTCGCCATGTGACCCATCCTGTCTAGGTCCGGTAAGATCGTGCAAGTCCAGTTACTCAACGCTCTCGAGTTCAAAGTCGCATTATACAAGTGACAAGCCCTTGATTTCCTCCTGTCGTGTGTGAGAAACGAGTTGATCGGTGAACCGTTCAGCTGCTGTGTCAACATATCTTGTCCAGATCTCAGCGAGTCCGTATAAAACCCCGAGCCAAGCTGGTAGGCAGAAGAGTAACCACGTATTACCCGCATATTCAAGTTTTGGAGAAGCGCCGTCTGGCTGCTGAACCTGTAGATTGGGTGATGGGGCAGTTCCATACACCATCCAGGTGAGTAGCCATCTTAGTAGCGTGCCGTGAAGAAGATACACTGCAAAAGACCGTTTCCCAAGCCATACCAGGACGGGATGGGACAGAATGTCCGTATATCCAGGGAGAAGGGCTCCGCCAATTGTCATAAGGCAGAACCCGAAGGATGATGCGAATTTCGGAAATTCAGAGTCCTTGGGGACAATTGCTGATAGGATTTGATCTTGCCAGCGTGACCATGAAGCCAGTTCAATACGGCTTTCGGGATATGATGCGATGAACAGACCCACTGCTACTGACAAGAAGCCGAGAAAAGGAATGTACCGAGACTTGCTCCATGAGATACGCTGAGACAGTCCACAGTTGTGCAAATCGTTCATAAAGACTCCCCACCAGAATTTCATGAAGTACGCTATAGATCTGTCAGCCATGCTCACAGCAGCGCCTGAGAAGAAGACTACTTACGCCTTCCGCAGGCCCAAAGGTAGCCCCATAGAAGTAGGGATGCACCCATTCTGAACTTTGCTTGGACCTTTGCAGTCGCAGTGATGAATAGAAGCACGAACATTCCGCCTTTAAAGAGTTCGAAAAGCGTTCCCTGGTGGACGTCGTACTTATTTCCAGCTCCGGTCCATGTGTTGAAGATATTGACAAAGAGCTGTCTAACAGCTGAGAATATCGGTAATTTATCTTGAACAGTCTGCGTCAGATAGTAGCTATTCGTCATCTTCGCAGCCTCAAAGAGTCTCAGTTGTGTCGCAGTCCACGCTATGATAGTGGCAACGGCACTTGGATACAACAAACGTGGAAGCCGCCGAAGCGCAGACTTGGAAACGCAACTCCAGCCTGCTTCGTAATTGCCCCGTCGAAAGAGAGCCAGCGGTTTTAGTGCACATACATAGCCTGTCACATAGATGAAGATTATGACGCCCAGTCGGCCCTGGATCATGATACGGAGAAAGGGCAGTTGGAGCAGTCGTGGTCTCAACCCTTCGCCTGAGACTGGGGAGTAGAGATCAAGATCAAAGGCACGCGTGACGTGGGCGATCCAAACCAGAGTTGACGCGATGCCACGGAGTCCCTAGATACTAGTTAGCGAGTAGATTCGATGTCTTGCTCAGCGATGATACGTTGTCCATACCTCGATCCACTGTATGTGTCCTTCTTTTGTGGAAGTCATATTTGTCTAACAACGAAGAGAGAATAACAAGGAGATAATGTCCTTCTACCTATTTAGAGATGAGTACAGAGAGGGAGGTCAATTTTGGTAACTGAGATAACACGGCTGTAACTTATTCAGAAAGATGTAGTGCCATAGCCACACGTCAAAGAAAACATACCCAATTCTCCAACCCACTCGCTCAATGCCAATGCTTCCATCGCACGCCTCACCTCGTCGCCTCGAAATGTCACCTAGCCATCTTTACTCCATTCCTCACACGGAATTGCCGTTATGTTACATCCAGAAAATATTGCCCTACAGCCAAAGTCAAAAGTTCACCGAATCCCCCTCATTGTTACCCCGCTACCAGGAACCAGGTTCATGCACGGACGAACACACGTTTTCGCTCCACTACTTAACGTTTAGTTATTAGTCCCGACTCTGAGCGCCCGTAAAGACATCAAGGCAATGATGTGACCAAGGTGACATCGGAATTGCCGGACCGATGTGATGTTGAAAGCTTCTTATTCCAGCGGTGAAAGACATTGCCTTGCAGTTGGTAGAGAGAAATGCCGGCAGCCGAGTGACGCTACCTCGGGTGGAATGCTCGGGAGGCTGTATGGCACTGATGAGGCGCAGATCAACAGCAGGTCTTGTGACTCGAGATTTATACAGAGGTGGGTATGCCAGAACAATTCGTATTCTGAATCTTTACTAGACCCTTTCCGCTTTGAGTTTTCTCATCTACTCACGCCACAAAATTCAACTCAAGTCATGTCCAGCTTACAGCCAGCTCACAAGGGGATCTTGATTCTACTCGGAATCGCCCTAGTTTTCTTCTAGTACGGCACCCATTTCTATGAGTTAAAGGAATTCTAATATTTTTCAGTCTCCAGAGCGGCTCAGACTATGGTTCATCTACCAGATTGAAAGAACGCACAAAGGTACACAGTAAGTCAACCCAATACACCTCGCAGCAATGAAAGCCTTCGACTAATCTAAGACTGTAGGACGCTGTGTTACACCACGCACTATCGCTCTCACATATGACGATAATCCCAATGAGGGCATATACGACCTCTTGGCGCTCTTAAAGAGCTATAACGCAACAGCAACATTCTTTCCAAATGCTCCTCACCATTATAATACGCTGAAACTGGATAAGTACGTTCATGATGCACATGAAGCTGGGCATCAAATTGGAATCCATACGTCAGTTTTACCAATTCTTCTGTAGTCTGCTCAACTAATGCCCGTTAGGTGGGATCATATTAACCTAGATGATGCTGGCCATGAAAAGGCCTTGGATAATATTGTACGCTCTGTATGTCTTCTCTTAATGCTTTAGTGCTAATAGCTTACAGGAAAAGATGAATGCATGGTTGTATCATGTCATCGGATCACGATCCACTTTCGTTAGACCTCCTTATGGTGCCTGCGAAATTGACTGCAGGATGACCTTGACTGGCAATGGGTATAGCATTGTACAGTGGAACATGGACACATTAGACTGGATCTTTGGGACAGAAGACAAGTTTGAGTCCACCATTGAGATCATCAAGAATTGGGTGGGCAATCAGCCCGACATCGATAAGGACGACTATGCAGGGCCCATCGTCTTGATGCATGGCCGGTACCATACAAGCGCTACAGTCGTATCGCAACATTTGTTGGATCTTTTTACCTCCAAGGGTTTCAAATTTGTGTCTATTTCCGAATGTTTGGGCTTGGATAGAGAGTAGACTAATAATATCATCTCATCGACGTTTGATGCCTATACCGGGGGGAAACATTATAATATCCACTATCCAGTCTTCCACCAAGTAAAGAGCTGAGAATCCCTATTTTAGGAGGCGTTTCTCTAGTATGATTCGTTTGCCTCTAGACACACGGGTATCTGCGGCCCATGGTAACCGTAACCTAACATAGTGTTTGTTCACCCGTTCAACCTTTCAGAGTTCGCAAGCAGCTTCGTTTTAGTACATTGAGTCTTCAGAGTGTTCTTATGCTGCACCAGATATAAACTTTTGCAGAAAGAAATATGTACTTGGCATTGTGATGTAGCTCAACTATCTGAATCACTAGACTTGAAAACTCCGTTCATACAACCGCCTCTCAACTTGGAACACTATCGTCAATTTTGACACCAGCACTTGTCCCCATCGGCTCAGTAGTCATACTAAATGGTGACTTAACAGTAGTTCTGTCCGTTGCCAGTGAAGGTTCCGGACTGGTAAGCACCACCAGCGTTACCAAGGCAGTCAGCTGTGAATTGTTAGCAACACTTGTCATATTTTCTCGCCTATTTCTGCCAAACTTACCAACAGTGACGAGCTTGAGGTTGTTCTGCTTAGCCCAGTTGATCAGGGCAGGAGTGAGAGTCTGCACCGTGCTGGCGTAGGTCTCGTGCATGAGGGGAATGTGACCGTTTCCGCCAGCACCAGCCTGTTGGAACTTCTGCAGACTCTGCTGGGCCGATTGACCGTTCCAGTCACCCGAGTCGACATCGTCGGTGATGACCTTGTATCCGAGCTGCTGCATGGTGGGCAGCACATTGCCGCCGGTGGCGAGGTATGGAGGTCGCATATAGGCGGGCTTCTTACCGATGATGTTGACGAGGGCCTGCTCCACCTTCTGCATCTCCTGCTTCAGCCCGTCGGTGCTGAGACTGCCGAAGTTCTGGGGGTGAGTCCAGGTGTGACTCGCGATCTGGTGGCCCGAGTTGTAGGCCTTCTTGATAGCGGCCTGCTGGTTGTAGATGCAGCCGTAGAGCGTGCCGGTCAGGAAGAGGGTGGCCTTGGCACCGGCGTTGTTGAGGATGTCGACGAGCTGACTGGTGTACTGTCCAGGGCCGTCATCGTAGGCGAGAGCAAGGACACCGGGTCTGTTGCATTGGCGGATAACAACACCAGCTGCCTGGCGGTTGAAGAGCTCAACTGGGTCCTCGATAGCAGCGCCGGCAACGGTGCCAACGAGCAGGAAAGTGCTGACAGCAGCCTTGAGGAATGACTTCATTGCGGATGAATATGTACGAAAAGATAGATATATACAAAAGTGAAGAAAGAGAAGTGATTGACAAGGCAAAGCAAGATTAATTGCTGGCGCCAAGGAGTGTTTATATAGGGATGATCACTGAACGAGGTATTGTTTCAGCAAACAAATTCTCCATTTCAGCCGGCCCGAAACTATTCCTCTCTGATCACAGCATTGCATAGATCAATCAGGCCTTTGACCCCAGTGATGTCCTGCCCTGAAACGCTGCTATGTGTTTTCAGGCTAAATGCGCAACCCCCTGTGCCCCTAGCAATTAAACCACAAACGGACGGAATAACCCATGATTCGACGGGTGATTTCAGAGGGGGTCATCGATACAGGGCAGCTGATAACAGCCGGGCCCTGATCTGGAACTCCGGCATCAGCGCCACGTGGTTCGACAATGCGGAGACCGGTTGTGACATGTTGCCATTCTGAGCTTCAGCTTTGACTTTATTCGACGATCCGGGCATTGTTCCTCCGGCATTGCAGTGCAAGCGGTTAAACTGGGACCGGTTTCATCCTCTCGGAAATGGTTACTCGCTCAAGCCGTAGCTCCACAGCCAGATCCACAGAGAGACATCACTAATAAACAGTCAGCTTCCAGGTAAATTGTCAATTAATTCGGCATTGAACTTGACAAGCCTCCTTCATTTTACGTATTTTAACCGGTGGCAAAATGCAAACTGAGCACAGCTATTGATCCCCAGATCTAATATAACCCATTCCCCTCATTCTTCTGAGCACCCAACCCTCTTCTGTACCGATATTGTAACCTCATCAACTTAGCCTCGCCATTTATGCCGAGTCATTACAGTAATCGATCGTGAAGTTGCCGAAAAACCATGCCCATTTCTCGGAGTGTCGATACCCGCACGGCTATTCCTACGCTCTACTCTGTGATCTCACCATCAAAGCTTGGAACCACGTCTCCGCACTTTTCGGGCGTAAGGATGTCCTCCAACGCGGACAAGATGATCGACATCCGAAGTGTTTACGTAGTCGGGGCTGGCATCTGCCAAGTCCGTCAAGCCGCAAAGACGCATCGCTGTTTCCAGCTCATCTCGTAGAACTTGTAGGTGTTAATAAGGTCATTTGAGCTATAGCTGGTGATGACTTACTGTTGAAGGCGTGTACAACGCCATCTTCGCCGTAGCCTACTGAGTATGCAAATGGTCTTCCAAGACCAACAGCTGATGCACCAAGGCAGATGGCTTTGAGAATATCAGAGCCTCTTCTAAATCCGCCATCAACTAACACAACGAGCTTATTGAACACTTCAGGGCAATTCTTATGAAGCTCCAAGAGTAGCAAAATTGCCGGCGGGGCTGTATCTGCTGCGCGACCTCCGTGATTGCTGAGAACAATACCTTGTACACCGTGCTGCATAGCCAGTTTAGCATCCTCCCATCTCTGAATCCCCTTGATAACAATGGGTACGTCGACCTGAGCACGGAGCCAAGTAATATCATCCCAATTCAGAGAAGGATCAATGAACGAGCCCGTCTGACGCGCCAGCCCCGATCCTTTCCAATCTTCCCCTGGTCCGACGCTCTCGCTTTTAACCCTCTCGTCAGCTTCTCGCTTGGACACGACGGGTAAATCTGCTGTGACGAAGAGTGCCTTGATCTTGCCGGTTTGTGTGACCTTTTTCAGCAGGTCTTCTGACAGTTTCCGGTTCTTGTTGACGTATAACTGGAAAAAGGCTCGTTCTGGCGTGACGTCAAGAACATCTTCGTGCGGAAAGGATGAGGGTGTCGCCAGTGTCTGAATGATGCCCGTCGTTGCTGCTCCTTTGGCTAGTGCGAGTTCCCCTTGCTCACCACCAGTCAATGCTGCACCAGTTGGTGAGATATATACTGGCAACTGGAGATTGCACCCAAATAGCTCAGTTGTGGTGTTGACTGTTCGGACGTCTCTCATGACTGCCGGCCGTAGCCAGATCCGTCCGAGAAATGAGGCGTTTGCGTCACGGGTGAGGTTATCGTTCGCTCCTCCACTGATGTACGCGAATTCCTTCTTTGCCAGAGCTGTTGATGCTACGTTCTCAAAGTCGTGCAAGTTGATTATGTCGCGAAGAGGAGGTCTCTCATTGGGATTTCTTGGTTTGTTCGTTGCTTGCCCATTGGACTCCAATTCCTTCTTCTTGTTGCTCTTGGACACTTTGAGAGATCCGAGATGATATTTGGCATCTAGGGCTTTTTGTACAAGTGAAGGCGCGTGGAAACTGTTATATTCGTCACTCGCATCCTTGCCAGCATACTGGTAGATGACTTTCCCGTGTTAGTTAATGGACATGCGTCAGTGACAGAAAGATGATGAAAACTCACTCTCGGCACCTCCTGGGTGATCTGGTGCAAAATCCGTAAAGTCGTAGACTGTATCATTAATCGCAAGCCATAAGTCATCCGGTGTGTTATGCACGGCGATATCCTCCTCGGAATATTCTTTCGACATTTCTCAAGTTGGTTGAGAATCAGAATAAATACTATAAGTAAAAGAAACGCACTGCTCTGTCATGCAAAAGGTCATCTCATAATGTATTTAAGGTATCAGAATTACCAATCGCAGACGGAATTCCAAGATCCAAGTGCCCGGAAACCAAATATCTGAGTTCCGATTGGTGGATCTGCTGCACCCCGCATTTGGCTCGGGTTTCATCCGAGGTCAAGTCTTGTTCCTCTCGGATACTACCCGGGAGCTTCTAATTATTTCAGCTAAATTAGCTGTAGCCTGCTATCCTTCGGCAAATAGACTGGCATATTCTGAAATGTCATAGCTATCGGCTCTTAATTAAGTTGGAGACTTTTTACGCAACTTGGGTCAAGTATTTATTTACTGCATTGGTTTGTCACTGCAGCCATGAACTTCTGAGCCGTTATTTATCTTTTTCTATCGAAAAACGCTAGCAAAACAGACACAGACTCCTGGAACTACCATCATAGAAACAAAGCAATAAAGCCAGAACATAACTCTAACCCATATTAGTATCAAGGTCGATAACTTGTAGTAGAGAACTAAGAAATAAGCAGATGTTCCTGATGCAAACAATAAACATCCTGGCTGGCCTGATAACAGAACAGATTGTCGGGAAATCTATAATCCGAATTCTCTAGCGACCGTTATCTTAGTATGATTTCTCTTATCCAAAGCGGATCTCCAGCCCACCATTCACCTAATCATTTCGGAGAACACTAACTCTTTCTGCAATTAAAGTCAACTAGCTCAAAATGGTAGCCAGATGGTGGAAAGCTGAAGTTCCTGAACTGGCATGCAAGATGAGCTAGTAGGCAATAGCTTGTGTAACTACATGTCACTATCTGAATTAGCTGAACGCCCTGAAGGTCTCGATCAACGCCCAAACAGACCGAGACCAAAGCCACGAGAAAAACCTGGGCTCACATGCCTGACTAAATTAATAACAATGTCCAACGGTAATTCTTATAAAGACGGTGTGGTCTGCAACTGTGTTTTTCCCATTTAGAAATTCTAATTAGACAGAACCCGAATTCTGAATTCTCGATTCGTCACAATGGTCAAGATACAGCTTCTCTACTCGTTGGCCTTTGTTGCCTCAACTCTTGCTGCACCCTCGGGTGTTTTAAGCTCCCTCTTTTCGTCTCTCGATAAGCGAGCTTGCACCAATCCTTCAAATATGCTCCAGAACCCCGGATTCGAGTCAAAATCTATCAGTAAGTCCTTCAGCCACCAGCAATATAATTCTCAGACTTTTCTCTGCCACCACAAATATCACTTTCCACCGGATAACTCACTAACATGAGCCAGAACCATGGGTCTATGCTCCGTACTATCCGAAGCTCACCAGCCAGAAGCTTGTGACTCCTGGCTACAAGAGCGACAAGGCTCTCCAGATCGCCGGCATAGCGACGACACAGAATGAATATGGCTACAGCACACTTAAGCAGAACTTCACCAACTGCAAGTTTGGAAAGTACCAGCTGTCATGGTCCATGTACCTCCCCAAGGGTGCAGCTCAAGGTCTGGATCCCCGTATACCTGGCATGAACATCTGGGTCTACGATCCCGCTGGCCAAGGTCAAGTAGGAACACTCGCCTTTGGACCCAATTCGTTCAACAGTTCACTTGGCTATCCTGCGAAGCAAGGAACACACAAGGCGAATCAGTGGGTGGACCTCTCGATGAAACTGCCTTACAACATTAATGTTGGCAAATGTACCTTGGTCATCAACTGGTTTGTTCCAGGTCAGGAGACGGGCAAGGGAAACGGGAAATTGACACTTAAGCTCGATAACTTTGTTCTGAAGCCTGCGAAATAGAATCGCTGGCGTTATGTTGTCAGTTGAGTCCACCCATGAGGGTATGCACTGGGGCGCTCTCTCTGGCTTCCGCAAAACAAGAACGCTGTACAGATATACCTCTTGTTCGAGGAAGGGGGATAAACTTAATTATGAGGAGAACCAACGTTATAAATTTCTGTTATCAAGATCTAATTAACTTTCTATATCGATATGCATATGCTACGCCGCAGCTGCAGCTATCAATGCCGCACCAGTCCCAGAACCATCTCTTGTAAGCTCTATTTTTATCCTCGCCTCATTGGCCTCCCCAACTGCTTCAACGTCACGCAGAGAAGTCCGCATGAAGCTCTCGAAAGCTGCATGGAACTCAAATAGTGAGCCATCGACCGCAATATCAATCACCTCATCTGCCAGTTCCGAAGACTCGAGCGTGTCTTTTGAGTCATATGACGATCCACTTGTCGATGTTGCCAAAGGTGCCACCGGGCGTATGCAGCCAAACAGGCGTCGCATAAATCGTGTGAAGGCGTTCCACCGGTTTTCGGTCTGTGATGATGTCGACTTCTCGTGTATTTGATGTGTATGAGCCCCCAGGCCCGTCTTCCGAGATATGCCTGAAGTATGAAGCCTGCCAGACTGTATGAGGATTGCAGCAAGACCAGCGCCTACTAATCGAGCAGATCGCTTCACGATAACAGTAGCCAGCATCTGGATAGTTTGCAAGTCCCTTGATGTCACACCTGTTGCTGCTAGGGTGTCGGTGATATATGACAGCGAATTCTCTTGTGTTGAGTCTGCGATCTTGGACAGAAATGCGCTGTCAACTCCCATCTGTATATAAACTGGGCTTCCGTCCGGGAATGACATGTCTAATGCATTGTTACGCATCAGGTCCAAGAGCGATAAGCGCAGTAGCTCCCCAAGATACATGCCGGATACCATCTTCTCAAGAAGACCACACCCAGGATCTGAAGAAGACTCGTCAACGAGTTTGTCGAACAGTGTTTGAGGAAGAACCTTCAGCCCGTCGTCCCATGATCCCCATTCTGTATTGATCACCATGATCCCGTGACGAATGGAGTGTTGTGCGTGATCGGCCGTTGTATCGAGTCTCTGGATGTTTGGCAAGCGCTCAATGTACGCAGCATTTGTGCCAGTCCCGAGGATTATAGATGCCAGGGTAGAGTTCTTTGTTTTCGAGGTATATGCTCTTGTAAGTAGCGTTCCGACTGCATCGTTGGCCAGAACGCAAACTCGCACTGGTAATGAGATGTCGTCAATCGCTTCCTGTAGTAGTGCGCAAGGATCTTGACCCAGAGTGCTTGGAATGTCCCATCCTTTGTCCCAGTGGACGAGGGTACCGCTAGAAATGGAAGTCTGTTCACAAGTGAAGCTGAACGTGAAGCCAAGATTGAAGGAGGCCTCTGGAGTCTCATCGCCCCCAATACTATTATGCTCACGAAGGAGATCTTTGATGTTCAGGGCGATGAAATTGAACAGAGGTTTGTGACTTGAGTGTACTCGGATATCATGAGGGACGAGGTGCTTCTTCTGAAACACATCAAAAGTCGAGTCGCCATGAAGTGTAACAGCGCACACGCGACAATTCGTACCGCCAAGGTCGACTGCAAGAAAAAGGCCCTTCTCTCGGCCACTTGGAATATGAGTGACGAAAGACGGTATCTGATAAGCATGCTTGTCTTTCAAACCATTTTCTGATAGGCTGGGTCAGTAGATACACTCGAGATAGCAAGACACAATATCATACTTATCTGCTTCACAAAGTACTTCGTTATCTCCTGTATCTTCTCGCTCCCAACCTCAAACTCTTGGGCAACCGATTGAACAGTTGCCTGCTGGCTGTTCCCTAAGCCATCCTCCAACATGGCAAAGCAAGACGGGCAAAAGAATACGTAAAGATGGAAACAATGAGTACGGTACGCATTGTAGAGGCAAGGCCAAAGACTAATACCAAAACTGTTAATAATTCCGCAGTCAGCTCAATCCGCATGGACCAGAATGGTGCAATCCCATCGCCAGGCTCAACGGCAAAGTTCGGCCCGGGGGCGGCCAACGCCGGATCGAGTAGCCACATTCGTACTAGACCAGGGATGACTAGCTTGATAAGACACCAGGGAAATATCGGTCACTTCGCCGTCCTCTCGCTCCCCGCACATTTCTTGCTTCATCCACTCTGCATATGCACATCCACTGAGCACAGCAGAGCAGACATCCACGTACGTCCACTCTGACACTCGACCATGACATTCGGCGAAGATTCCCGTTCTCTGGACCGCGACGCCCCAGATGAGGCTTCAGCACTCAAGGCCCGCAAAGCTTGCAGTGGGTACTCCCCTTGTCTCTGGACCTACCTATTGGGCACCAGATCATCCAAGACATTGAATGCTGATTAAGCTGCCAAGTCAACTGCCGGAAGCAGAAGATGAAATGCGTCCTCCAGGGTAGCAGCGAAGCATGTCGTCGATGTCGTCGAGCAGGACTGCCTTGTGTATTTGTGCCCAGGGCGAATGCAGCTCAGCTACCCTCACTCTCGGGGACTCTGGATCTAGATTTCAAGAACAACGTCTTATCTAGGTTAAAAGTCGTTGAGGAGAGACTATCCATTGTAACCGATGGTGAAATGGACTTTGGTGCTGTGGGAATGTTCTCGGGAGTTTCAGAGCAGTCGCCAGAGCCAATACCGGACGGGCCACTCTGGAATGCGATTGTACTCCTACAGAGATGTTCCCCAGCCGTACCATCATCTATTTGGCAACGTGATATTATTGAGTCGCTCTGGTCCTCGTACGTTCCTCTCTTTACTCATAAAAAATCATTAGTAACGTGTATCTATTCTAGCTTTCATGACAGGATGCCAGGGCTGCATTTCATGCCCGATAAGCAAACATTTTCGACACCCCAACCAATTTTACTTGCATCCATTCTCTATTGTTCAAGCAGTCGTGGGCCACCAGACGTGCTAGAAATCGCTCCCCAATTCTTCACAGTTTTATGCAACGCCATTGCTCAGCTGAGCATTCCCAGCAGTGAAATTGGAACACCTCGAGAATCAACTGTCTCTCAGGAGGAATGGGCCTTCCAGACTGTCCTTGGGATAGTTCTTGCCGGTTTATTGACAGAGGGCAACATAAAAGAAACCGGAAACTGGATTGCCATTGGCTACCGACTCATGCTGGACTATTGCCCTGCTCATGTTGATGACACGTCAAGAGAATGGCGCAAACTGTTTAGCGGCATTCAAATCGTTGACCTGGAGCACTCATCGATTTACCTGTCGTGCCCAGTAATTCCCATTGAAGCACCACTTCCAATTCTACGCATGTCACCTCTTGATCAGTTATACAAGCTTTCTCGGATGATGCATACGGGCCTGAGCCATTTTACTGGGCGGAGATTACCAACTATCTGGTCCTGTTTCCAGGAATCCAGTCTGAGCTACCATGGTTCAGCCACAAGTTTCACTGCCATCGACGGGATCCTTATCAAAGATTGGGCGAAGCAACTAGATGACTGGCTTCAGGAGTTCAAGGGCAAGATGACAGAACCTGATGACCAAAGCAGCAAGTTGGTTCTCCGTCAGTACGTCCTGCATCGACTACTTGTGCTATCAATCTACCATCCTGCGCGAAGCGGCAATCTTTGGGCACATAGCATAACGTCAAATGAGCAGGAAGAGTTACTGCTATCAGCGAGGGCGACTCTGAAGCTTCACCAGCATGATGACTCCATCTGGGCCAACTGGGACTTGATCATGATTACCTGGGCGGCTTTGATCGTTCTGCAGGGATTACAAGGAGGAGTGGGAGAGATAGATGGTAAGTATTATTGACATATATGTTCGAGCCAAAGACTAACCTTTTCTAGATATGAGAAACATCAGGCTGCACCTTGATATCTTGAAGCAGAAGAACGAACCCAAGCCTAGTCTTTGCGATAAGCTGATTGCCCGACTAGAGGATAGCCTGCAAGATATCAGCACGCCTGATTTCACCTATGTGCAGCCCGGTCATCCTACAGTTATGGACCCTACGTTTGATTACTCGTGGCAATTGTTCGATCAAGTAAATTTGCAGCAGATACAATTTCCTGGATAAATAAAACTACCGATCTACCTAAGAAACTTGACCTCACATGCCAACAGGGAACGTCACAGACCGAACCCTCATGGTGGGCGCTATTCGTGATGCCATGTTATCAGGCTTGAGATCACCGTCTTCTTCTCCATCAGCTGTTAGTGTAGGCGATGGAGGAAGTTGGCCTGAGAACTCCCTCTGTCTGATAGTCTTCTCGACTCCGTAAAAATACTATACTCGTCAGTCTTGTTGATGGGGACAGATTGGGGTAGTGTACTTACATTCACTGTCTTCACCTTCAACTCAAGGGTAGCATCTCTGTCCACCACCACCATGCTCTTTGGATGTAACTGGAGGCACGAGAGTGTGCAGAGATGGCTGACTCCACCCTCAACTGCTTGTTGAATGGCAATGGCTTTCGAGGCCCCGGTAGCAATGATGACGACTTCCCGTGCATCCATGACGGTCTGCACTCCAACCGTCAAGGCCATGTCAGGCACTGCATCGATGTCATTGTCAAAGAATCTCGCATTTGCAATGCGGGTTTCATATGCAAGAGACTTGATTCGAGTTCGGCTGACAAGACTGGAGCCTGGTTCGTTGAAAGCGATATGACCGTCTGTTCCTATACCTCCAAGGAAGAGCTCAATGCCACCGAACGACTTGATCTTATCCTCATAAGCTGAGCACTCGGCGAAGAGGTCAGAGGCATTCCCATTGAGCAGGTGGATATTCTCTGGTTGGATGTCGATATGTTTGAAGAGATTGTGATGCATAAAAGAATAGTATGATTCGGGATGTTCGCGGGGTAGGCCGACGTATTCGTCCATGTTAAATGTCACGACATGTTGGAAGGATATCTTGGAAGCTTTGTATGCTTTGATCAAGTCATTGTATATATGGAGAGGGCTGCTTCCCGTTGGAAGGCCAAGGACGAATGGCTTTTCGGATGTAGGATTAAAAGTACGAATGCGGTCTGAATTATCGCAGTATCAGCATATCTTTTTTAATCTAGACTGGAAACTTATATAAGCAGGCAAAGCTTACTGATGATGTAGTCAGAGATGTATTGAGATGCCTCTTGAGGGCCTTCGCGGATTACGAGACGCATCTTGGCTTGGAAACGTAGATAGGTATTCGAATAATAGTAATCAATTGGTAACTTCAGCTTGCCCAAATTCTACATTTAGATCTCTCCTTCACTGGTGACTATATCTTATACAATTCTCCTCTATCAACGTGCCAAACTATCCATTGTGTCATTGGGCCTTGATAGAAGCAAGGGAGAAGCCCGAACTTTGCCGGTGCGTAGGCTGAGTCAAACAGAGTTTCACAGTAGTCACTTGTCCGGGATACTACGGCCATTCTGCGGTTCCGGTCTCCTGGGTACGGGACACTAACAGCTTCAAGTTAGCTCCTTATCGGCAAATGATAAATATGCGGCCAACTACCAAACGCCACAAACCTAACTCCCTTGGAACATGAGTCGCGAACCGAACCAGATGAACTCTAAATTTCCGAACTCCTCTTTATTGACACAAGCTATGTTACACTACTAATAATCTGCCAGAAACATATTATAACCCCATTACTCAGTGTTGCATCCCGCCCCTTGTCAACCTAGCATGTATAAGTCATGTCCAAAGTGACGCTAGGAGTACCCTTGAATCCCTCAGGCACAGCGTACGAGATGTTGTAAATCCAGTGATCTCTCAGTGTAGCTCCATAAACGACATCTTGCTTCACCAATCCTGGCGCAGTAACGTTCACATCAAGGCATGGCAGCTTCTCAAGGCCCTTGACAACGTTCTTGCCACCAAGAGTCCAAGAAGGAGGAATACCAGTCAGAGCAAAAGTGAAGATGTTGGCGCCATCCTGAGTAGTGTTGGGATAAGACACAGTCAACTTGTTTGCTTCGGCCTTTGCATTCAACGTTGAGGCGCTGGGGTAGAGCGAGAAGAATCCCATGTACGGGTAAGGCTTGTGCGAAGGGTCAGAAGCCCACTGCACGATAGCTGGGACATACTGGTTGCCTCTGTTCACGGTCTCGTTGACTGTTTGGCCGCCAATCATGAGCTCAGCGCTGAGCCACGAGGTGACGTGGCGGGGGTTGTTCGAGTCAAGCTCCTCGTAGATGGTCTTCTTGATGAACCGTGTACCCTTCCACTTGCCCTTAGACTTGATGATGGCCTGAGCGTCCTTGGAGATTGTGGGCGCGATGACATCCATGACAAGGGCGAGCGCAGCACCTTGTGCGATATCGTAGAGGAGATCACCTTCTCCGAGAGGAGGCTGGCCGCCAACACCGCGTCCGTAAACGCCCCAGAGGACCATGGAAAGGATTTGAGAGTGAGTGGTGGCATCACGACTGTAGGCTCGATCGTAGGGTCCAACCATATTGCCGAGATAAGGGTTGTAGTGAGCAGCAACGTCCTTCCACAACTCTTGCAGGATAAAGACTGAGTTCTTGGTCATGGGAGCATCCTTAGGACCGTAAGCAATGTTGGCCGCAAGAGCCCAGATGTCGATGCCGTAGTAATTGGGTGCATTGTACTCAGACAGTGCATTCCCACATCGCTTGAAAAGCTTGAGGAGGTCGCTTCCTTGCTCCTTGGCAAAGTTGATGAGGACTTTGTTGTTCTTGCGCTTTCCGACCCAGCCAGTGGTGAGAGCTCGCATGATGCCTGGGTTGGAGTAGCCAAGAATCAGGTTGTCGTCCAGCGGGAAAGATCCGTTGCGACGCATTCCTCCAATCGCAGCAGCCTCGAGAGCATCTTCAATGCGAGATTCAA